TGCAATGACTTTATTCTTATTGATTTGAAGGGTACTTATAATATTTTATAATTATTGGATATATCTTAGATATCTTTAATTTTAATGTTATCAATAATGTCTTATAAATATAATAAATATCTTAAATATCTTAAATATAATATTAAATATATAAGATAAAATAGATAATTTAAATATCTAATATTTGAAAGTATCCAATATAACTGAGATAAATCCCTTAAATTAAATTATTCAAAATTTTAGATTTTTAATTCAAACACTTACTTTTTCTCTGGAACGTAAAGTTTAAATGCATTGTTTTCCAGGTAGTTTAGGGGATGGCAGTTTGGACTGGGGAACTGGAAGACTGCAAATTATTTTTCCCAGCCCGAACTGACAGAAATTGGCCATTTTTGAAAAACAAAAGTTTAAAATTGAGAAAAGATTTCAAAAATATTTTTTTGCATATTTATGCTTTAAATAGCATGTTATATCATAAAAAGTGAAAGAAAACGTTTTTTCAATCTTCTGCTAAATTCATTAAAGCGAGCCACCACTTGGCCTCCGTAAAATAAACATTTTATCAGGTCGATGATTTCAATTTTTCTGATAATCTGGCCTTCTTATCATTGCTTTATTTAGATATGAAATATTGAGGCTCATTTTTATTTTATTTTCGCTGCGAAAAGCAGAAATTGTTCGAGAACACAGTTTTAAAGTTATCTTCAGACTTGAAAAAGCTATTAAAAATTATTTAAACATTCTTTTGTGTAACTTTATATAAACTAAAATACTGCACGATTAAAAAATGAGTAGTAAGTTGTTTTTCCCATTATTTTAGCTTATCATTTACAGATCCTCACAATTTTAATCTTTGAAACTGCGCGTTTGGTGAGACTTTTTAACCACTAAACGAGAGAAAGAAATATTATTTATTCATAATTTGAAATGGCTTGAAGGATAATTATATTTTTATTTTATCATTTAATGCAAGATTTAATTCTATTTCTTAAAAAAAGTAGTTTACATAAAAAAGTAGTAGACCTACCTATATAATGTAAAAATAATTTATGTATGATAAATCTGTTTGGTGATTCACTGAATTTTTTTCTGAAAGTGGTCATTTGAGTATTTGATCGAAAGAACCAGATAAGATAATGAAATGTTTCAGATCATCATTGGATTCCATCATCAACCCATCAGGGTCTTGCTACAGGTTCAGCTGTTTATGCAGGAAATGATGCTGATGGATCTCCTATATACGTTGGGCGGTAAGTCTGTGACATATATTCTTATTATTAGGTTATTCAATTTTGTAATGATTCTTAGCGCATTCCATGAAGGTGATCAAATACCAGCTAAAATCATTCCTTCTAAGCAAGCATGTTATGTTCCACATAACGGCTTAGAACATTTCAAACCAAACTTTGAGGTTCTTAGTGGCACAGGATTCACTTGGGTAGGTAGTTCCAATGGGCATGTCCCAACGGGAGCGGTTGTTGCTGGAAATCAAAGAACTGGAGAACCTCTTTATGTGGGACGGGCGCATCATGAGGGAAGCTTAACAGTTGGAAAAATTCATCCTGGTCATGGTTGCATTTATATACCTTTCAATGGACAAGAACATTCTATTTTACATTATGAAGTTCTTGTGAGTCAAGCAAAGAGTAAGTTTTTTAAGTTATTGGGAAAATCATGTAAAATTAACAATATTTTTAATTAATAAGCCCAGTGGATTCATACTTCATCCCATGGGCCAATGCCTCCAAATCCAATTTTTGCTGGTACTGATACTGATGGAAGTCCTATATACATTGGACGTTGTTTCCATAATGGAGATCAACTTCCAGCTAAAGTGATTCCAAATAAAAACGTTGCATATGGTTAGTTCATGAATTTTTATATGACAGTGATAGCTCGATTAACTGGTTATTCTAAAGGGGTGTTCTTAATATAAAAATCGAGTTCAATCTTATTAAGGGATCAGATTATCAAGTTTTTTTTGTATTTAAAATATTAAATTTTAATGACCATTAACTTTTAGTTACATTTGATGGTCAAGCAATACCAAAGTATAGTTACGAGGTTTTATGTAATGGAAATGTTCAGTGGGTGCCTTCTGGACATGGTGCTGTTTTACCAAATGCTGTTGTTGGTGGTCGCACATCTAGTGGGGAAACTCTTTATATTGGACGAGGACACTGGATGGGGTCTTTAACAGTTGGAAAAATTCATCCATCTCATGGAAATTTATACATTGCCTTCAATGGTATGGAATGTGCTATTGGAAATTATGAAATATTAATAGAAAATTGAGAAGACTTTAGAAAAAATACATTTCATGGTAATTTTTTCTTAAATATTTCATTTTCTGTCACGTTTAGATATAAAAAAAAAATTAATCAAAAACCAATTTAAATAAATGTGAACACAATTATTTGGCAGTACCAAAATTTTATTTAGGTATTAGTTTTAGAGAGGAGATTAGGGAAAAACGCTTTTATTCATCTTCATGTCTATGAAAACCATAAACAGACAACGTTAAATCAATATAAATATCTTTGAAAATAAGGTGAATGACCAAATGCGGCATATTTTAAAATTGTTGCACACTTTTTCGATCTTATGGTGTTTCCTCGTCGTTTTGTTTAATAATGAAAACTGAAAAAAAGTTAACAGATTCTTAAACTTTAAATTCGTTTGAGCGACATCTTTGTAAAGCTTTAACAGTACCTAGCATTTGAACCTTATTGAAGATGCAAGAAGTAAAAAAAAAAACATGCTTAAAGTAACAACTAGGTTTTCTTTCTAATTTCAATAAGCAGAGAAGACAAGATCTTTTCATTAACGTTTTTAATTGAGTACCTAACAAATTGATAAAGAAAAAAGAAAAAAAGAAACAAGCAAAAGGAGGAAAATTATCAACTAAGAAAGTTCATTACAAATTGCCTTTTTTTTAATATTCTTTTGATCATAATTCAACATTGATATGGCCATGACTATTTGCATATGAGTGAAAAATATAGCAAAACGATTTTAGTATGAAATAGTTAAGTTTGTTAAATGTTGCTGCTTATGGTGCACCAATTGATTGATTTATTTGATTTTATTTAACACTTTGGTACTCATTTCTTTATATAGATATAAATTTGTTAATAGTATGATTTCATTTTTAATTATAAATCTCGAACATGTTAAAATATCTTGCTTATGCCTTTCCTAAAGTAGTTTTAAAAATTATTGTAATCAGTTTTAAGCCCCTTGAAGAAAAGGGAGTTCTAGGTCCATTTTCAATCCTATATTGAGGCAATTGGAAGTTTAGTGGCTTCAAAGGTTGAATTTTGTTGCTTCACTTTTCGTCATCATTCTTTTTTTCAAATAGTTTGGCAAAATTCCTTCCACTATTCCGTAAATAAACTACATATGGTGTAAGTATCAAAAATATTCTTAGTCGTGGTGTCATCCACTTAATGGTTTCTCGGTTTAAACGTTGAAATACACGCTTTCCTGCTTTTTCATGACAAGTTTAATTACCGATTCTAATTTAAATGAAGTTTTCAGATCGTATGAAAATGTCCAAAAAAGTAAATATAATTTTTCAATTTGATTCAAATATCTTGTTCCCATGGGGCATGGAGCCCTAATTGAATTAAAATCACATCAGCATCATGAAAATCAAACTTTATAATTGAAGGACACAAAGATAAAGAATATCATAGAATGCTGTATTTCGCCAACGGTTATATGGCCATGTACATAATTGAATAAAGTAAAGATTAAATAGATTAAATTTTTCGTCTGCCAAAAATCATTACCAAATGATAAATTTTAATGTCATCCCAAGCAGAACAGTAATGACTGAAATTGGGTTATGATGGTTGAAAAATAGAAAGTGCAATTATCTACTAACATTGATCTAATGTTTTAAGAACATATTTCTTGACTTTGTTGAATGATTTTTTTTATTCAGAAAAAGAGGCATCGTTTGGTGAATGTTTGGAAATATTAATACATCTAATGTTAAAGCATAACAATAATGAATGCATACAGAAAGACATGATTTTGCTTTTTGTATATTTCAGTCTCAGAAGTGATGTAGATGAAGGTTTGGCAATTATTAAAGCTTCCTTTACTGACAAAGCAAAATTTGAATAAAAACTTAAGTGACAGTTATCTCACATAATAATAGCCTACATTCTTAATTATCTTTTGCGAGTTTCATGGAGTTCAGATAATAAAGGGTCTTCATTAGTCTGTCCGCAATGTTTTACATTACAAAAGCTTTTTCGGGGGTTTCGTTTTGTACAATTCAACTGCTCTACGTGAATGAATTTGCTCTCATTTATATGGATTTTATTTAACTTACAATGGAACAAAAAAATTGTCATTTAACAACAGCAGCTTTCAATTGCCGTAAAAAAATAAAGCTGAGACGTTTTTCAAGAGCGTTAGATATTTTGTTCGGAAAAACATTTCAATTTTGACTCTAAAACTCAAAAGATATTCGCCCCATAAAAACCGGTAAATTTTCATTAACCTGCTACATACTGCGGTTTCTCGGCAAGCAAGGTAATTTGATTGTTGAAAATTTAATACAGTGTTTCATATGCACAATGGAAATTTTCACAAAACAAAATAATAAGTAAGGCTTATATATTAATATTGTTGAAGATGAAGGTTTTTTTAGCTGATTTGCAACATTTTTCTTGTGATATCGTGATGAAAAAAATATGAACTTAATTTGGCTGAACAAGGCGAAATCATTTTAATGAGAAGATGTTGCGGTTTAACATACGACTATGTTCCAAAATTGGAATTTAAAATTTTCATTCACGTCATCATGCTCGTATGAGAGAAAAAATTGTTGCAAGTGAAAGAAATTTACACGGAGGATAATTTTTACGTAAATTAAAAATAATTTTATCATCGATCTTCACCATAGACAAATCGAGATTGATAAACACATTCTTGACTGATGTATCTAATTGCTCTTCGAAGTCATAACTGGCTTCATTATAAACAATTATGATCTTTCCTGCTCTGCATTAGAATAGAATGAAATATTTTCTCCCAATTACCGACATATTTTCACCACTCTGTAAGATTTTGCAAATCTGATAAAATATTAATTAAACTGATGGTACTGACTTAGTAATTATACATTTTAAAACAAAGTTAAAAAAATTTTCTCCGTGTTTACCTGTTGAAGTTCAAGATTTATTTCATAAAATAAAATTGTTCCCAGAAATTTAGTTATGAATGCACGTGCTTTTATCAAGATTAAGCAAATTGAAATTCAAACGAAATTTTCTAAATCAACATATTACTCTTTACAATTCTGAATACCTACATACGCACGGTTCGTTAATAATCAACCACGATAAATTGTGCAAAAACTGATTACTTAGCACTCGGTTGAATTGAGATCTTTGTAGGAGCGGAGCGTCATGATTAAACTTTAATCACAAAGGATTTTTCAACATTTGTTTATTGACTGCTTGATTGAAGTATGGTCTTAAAATCTGTAAAATTTATACGAAAATATTCAGAAGAAAATCAAAAAGGTGATTAACTCTAATAAATTTGTAAATTTATAAAAATTAGAAAAATCGAGTTAAAGTTGATATGAACAAATTTAAGGTTTTTCATAAATGGTCAAGCCTTGTAATCAGATATTGAAAAACAGTTGTTAATAAATTCTATGTACAATTTTGATCACGTCTCTAATTCACAAAAAAAAATTTTGATTAAATACCCAAAGATTTTCAAACTGCACCGTAAGAGTTTTCATTATTCAACGACTTTAATATAAATTAAATAATCTTAGTGACAGGTAGAATTAGGAGTCGTCCCTAAAAGATATGGAAAAATATAAAAGAGAGTAAGGGTCGGAGATGAAAAGCTAGGTCTAAATTTGCTGGTACCATCATGTGACATTAGTGAGTAATTAAAATGATAATGGATACCGCAAAATGATGATTCAATCAGAATAAAAACACAAATCTTTTCTGTTTGATTTGGACTTACGTCGATTGAAGAAATTAAATATTTTCGGACCTATTTGTTTCAATTTGGTCAAGTGATTTTTCATGAAACAAATATTCTCAATTATTAGAAAATAAAAGCAATTAAATGGTCATCACTAATCGACTGTTTCCCATGACTATTTGGTTATCACAATGAATCTAAATAAATTAAATTGTTACGTACATATACATTCAAAAATGTTCGAAGATATTTTATGATCAGTATTCAAGGGTTAGTTAGATTGTGTCTAAAGTCAACAATTAAAATTATTTCTAGGAAGAGCCCATCAAACAAATGAGTAAATTTTCATAGGTAGTTATTATGAATCTGAAAACATCCAAATTAAAGTCTTGCAACATTAGAAAGTAATGCGCTTCCAATGTTTTCAGAAGGATGATGTTTTCACACTGTTAACATCATTTTCCCAACGCGAAACATGATGATTTCCTTTGTCGAAGTTTTTATCACAGCATCAACTCAGTCAATGTACAATAGAGCACTAAGGAAGACCTTCATATGGATTTAGCTGTTAAAATTTTGGCAATAAACAACGGCATTTGAAAGTAATGATTAATATGAGCACCAACTTTTGAAAATAATTTTCTTTCAAATGTCTTGAAGAGTTGGAATTGTTAAGTGAGTGTATAAATACTAACATAAACAGAGACATACTTGAAGCTCGTTATGCCTAAAAATTATGATTAGTAATCATAGTCACTAAAGTGTTAATAATGAAGAATGTGGGTGTTTCAAGATTGAAGTTCAAGAGAAATTATGAAGTATGATGTAGATACAAAGGGTTGCTGTAAACCTTTTAAAGAATTAAAGCAATAAGTGAACACTAATAAGTCAGTAGATATTTTATATATTTACTGCAGAAAATTATAAAAAAATACTCAATGTTAAATTTTGGAAAAAAATTAAAAAGAAGAATTTAATCTGAGGCAGGTTTAGAAGCCATAACTCTTGTAAGCAGCAGTTCGTATAGAAAATTATGAATGTGAGTAATTTATCATGAGAGAATAAGAAATTGGAAGGTTTCCTTCACGTATTAACTCTATTAACAATTTAATATAAACAAATAAATCATATAAGTTATTTAAACTGAAACAAATCTTAATTCTATTTAAATAATTTGTATTTCATGAGATTTTTCCATCAGATTTTCCGGATTAAGACTTCATCATTTGTTTAATTTGAAAGTTAAATTCAAGAATTTATGAATTTCTGAATTTAGGACAATTATCTAAGTCTTTTATTATTGAGATAGGCAATGGAATCAAATTTATTGTTTAAAATTTTCTGTCCTTTCTTGTCCTTTTAATTAAGTATGAGTTATAATATTTGAACTCTCAATTGGCACATTGCACAGACATCTTTACTAACGTAACATTATTTTACACAATTATAATTTTTTAGGAGAAAAAGAATTTTATATGGTCATAAGATCATTAAATCAAGTCATTAAATTATTAAATGGCTGATTAAATTAAAAATTTGTGAAGCATTTCATTTCTACAGTTTAATTAAACAACAAAGTTGTTCCAATTATTGAATTCAGCAAAATTCTCAAAAATATCAAGCTAAGTTTAAGTCTCGAGCATCGAGATTGTTCAAGTGATTTTTTGGTCTTCTGCTTTCATTGCTCGAAGCTTAAAATCACTTTTAATATTGTTAACAACTTTTCAAGTCTAATTTTATTGTCATGAAATACAATTTAATTTTACTTCTCGAAAAAACCATTGGAACAAATAAAAAAAAATAATTAATTACGTTTTTATACTCTATCAGCATTTAGCAAGATCCCTGATCATTTAACCAGATCCATCATATTTTGTGCTACTTGTAACAGTAAAAAATTGTCCAAAGTTAAATTTCGAATTATTTTATCGTCAGTTACATATGCAATTAAAGTTAATCTATTACGTTTCATAAATTTTTATGTTTAAACTTCACAAAATATTTAAACAAAACTTGCAAATGATTTTAAAGGAGACTTACATAATTGAACACAGCATTAAGCATGGTAGAACCATAAAAAATGTGAGCATTTAACCTAATTTGTAAGTTAATAAAACAAACAAGAAATACATTACTTTTAATTTAAAACTTTTAAGTCCTACTTTACATTACATGTGTTAATATCTTTTGTAGTTTGTTCTTAACACAACGGGTTGAGCAATAAATATTTAAAGCAAGCGAACCATTAAGGTGTTGAAATCTTCAATGGAAGTTTTGGCACTTGCTTCTGCTCTTGTCACGTTTATTTACCTTTTCTTTTGTTTTCTATGCTCGATAAAGTTTTGCGATATTACTTTTTTCTAGATTTTACTGACGCTTGAGTCTCTTTAATAATTTTGTTCTTTTCGACCCTTTATACAAGGTCACATTATTTCTAATATTTATGTTGCAATAAATCAAAATATAACCGACTTCAGTAGTACTTTTCGAGAAGTTCGTAATTCTTTTTCTTACTCAGTTTTGTGACATTTTATTGTACATTTCAGATATCAGATACGTATGTAATTTTTTTATTTTCGCAAACCTTATTACTTAATAAATATACAATTTTCTGAACACAATTTTGTGTAATCATGTTAGATAATCATGGAATTGGAATCAGAAATAAATTCTTACATAAAGAATTGTTTTCCTTGAAGAATTGGAATTGAGTATTCAAAAATTACTTAGAACTAAAGTTATGGTTAAAAGATTCAATTACTTAAATCACTTTGAAAAATAATGTTAAGAAAGTTCTGGAAAAACAAGTATACCTTCAACAAGAAGCAAAGATAAGTCTTATTTGATAATAATCCAATTATGATTTTATTCATAAAAAGAAGGCGCACGTTTTTCGTTTAGTTAAAGAGCTTTATACATTCCCATATTTTAATTATTTGCGTTATTTATTTTTCGTTTTAAATTAAAACAAACGGTTTGCGTGAAGCTTTAAAAACATAAAAATATGAGATACTAATATCTTTTTAAATAATTCATCGTACAAATTCTCATCCTTTCATGTTTTCAAGTACATTAATCGAAACCTTTTACAGCATAATTGAGAGAGAGCAAAGAATTAATTTCTTAATGCTTGTGTACATCGAGTTTAATTACCCTTTAAATAAATATATATATATGAAGTTTGTAATGTTAAAAAGATTAGAAGATTACAGTAAGTAATAATTTTCTGACTGCTTCATAATGTTATTTCTTTCATGAGATTGAGATAAAAGAAACTTTCTCTCAAAAATAAAAGTGTGAAAATCACTTTTTTCATGGTAAAAAAAAGTTTAAAAGTTAAAAAAATCAATTCATATTTATACACTTACACGTGTTTAAGCAAGAATGCTTAAATTTATGAATATTTTTGTTTTATATAAATTTATGAATAATTCATCAATGGATTCGTCGAGCAGGTAGACCTCCGGGATTTTTTTTTGACAGTTATTAGATATTAAAAGTGTCATAAAGGATTTGAAAGATTTAATTCCCATTTAGTGTTATCGTATTCCAAAAATGCAATTTGAAGATGTTATATTCTTTCAATTCTTCATACTTTCGAAATGAGCAAATTTTTCTGAATATTATTCAGATTCTTGCGTATCTCCTTAGTAGAGAAATTCCTTTTGAAATTTTTATATTGTTAAAATTCCAACAATTTTATATTGAGTTGTTTCGCTCACATTTTTCTGTTTTGAATAAGAAAACATGCTCTTAGTATGTAAAAAAATGAGAGGAAAGAAGACAAAAGAATTAATGTTAGAATAAATTCAAAAGGTTGTTTCATCTAAGCAATTTAAGTCTGTAATTGATTACTTTCCGTTGAATAGAAAAACGGTCAGAACATTTTGCTTTATTCTTATTCTTTTTCTATTTTTCATTATTAAAGAGAATGAATGAATGCTACACAAGCCAAAATATGGAAAAGTTCGCAAAAGACCATTAATCAAATTATTCATAGAGAAGTCAAGAATCCTGATCTGGTCATTCTTTCGTCGAGGTTTGTTTTAGGAGCTTTTCCAAGCCTTTAAAATACTTCAACCGTATTGGACATATAAAAATGGTTATTGATAGCGTCAGCATGTATTAGCTCATGTGTCCGACCTTCGTCTAAACAATAATTTTCCTTCATTTTTTCACCTGTCGCAGGACTCAATTGATTGTCGTCATCAATTTTTTTTACATTTTTATGTTTGAAATCTCTCGTGTGTACGTATCTAGTCACGTTCTTCTATTTGATTCATGTCCATCTGAAATATGCACAAGAACATATTTTCAATTTATGATGTTTGATGTAAAATTTATAAAATATTTAAGAAACAAGATCCTTCATTAGATCCAGGGTTGGGCGATAAAGTTTTAAAAGCCTAATGTAATCTTATGTTAAGTCAGTCAGATAAATTTTTCTTTAAGATGAAGAGCTTATTCAAGTTTTGATGATGATGACGTTCGTTAGGAACTTGGAACGTTACATCGTCGATCCATAAATAGAATACGAACTTATGCCAAGCTCTGATTGCTTCATACTTATATTGATTTAGTTTCTAAGGCTTAGCATAAGAAATTTCCGTCATTTATAAGAGTATATAAATATAAGCATATGATATGATTTCTCTCTTTTTGGTAAAAAGTGAAACGTTTCTTGGTAAATAATCGTAAATATAATTCTTTCAATCTTTGTAGACTTTCAGCTTGTGTTTATTGAGTGAAGCTTGATGAAGTATCTTAATTTATGATATTCTTATTCATAAGCACTCGAGACAAAAAAAAACGAGGACATGACATTAATTAAATTCTTTGCTAAGCAACTGCAAGAAAGTGATAAAGAAAAATGTTTGATGTTGAACGTCGCGCGCTATGTATTGGATCATAAATATTTATAAAGAATGTTATGTAGTATTTATATACACTTATAAATGTATTTAATTCGTAACTTACAAAAGCTCAATTCAAGTACTTTTAAGAGATTAATGTCAGAAAAAAAATAAATCTCAATTAATCACAGCTATTGTAAAACTTTTTGTTCTAGAACAATAAAAATTAAACGATGAATTATGTAAATTGAAATCGCATGTTTTTATAAAAGGAAATAAAAAAAGGAAATTTCAATATCTATTTATTGGTAAATAACGAAGAGTAAAAAAGAAACAATGAAAGAAGTTTAAGAGCGTGAAAATCAATTAAACAACTTTGTATATAAATGACAAAGATTATTGCTGTGTTTGTTCACAATTATATTTAATGTGATAACAAAATTTTTATCATTGATACTAAACTTGACTTGATGCTTCCTTTTTCTTCCATAAATTAATATTAATTGAACAAAGGTTTAAGTCATGGATTAATTAAAAATCATTAAAGAAACTCAACGCATTTCGTTTTTTTCTTGACATTTAGATGTCTTTTCCTCTGTTAAATAATTAAAATTTGGGATTCAGGTTGGCTTATGTTGTTCCATTAAAAAGACAGATGAAAATGGTGTGACAAAGGTCGAAAATTATAATAAATTTTAAGCTGAGAACGGAATTCATATTACCGTAACAGTATATTCACCCTTTAACATGAAATGAACAACACATAGAAACACAAAAAGACATTTTTGGACTCCAAGTTTAGCTCGAATGAAAATTTTCTAAAGTTTCTTGACATTCACAATATTAAGAAATGTTATTGAATCATCTTCGATAAGTTCATTTCTGCATCAGTAGTGCAAAAAATTTATTCATATTTTTCTGCCTTATGACACAAACAAAATTTTTATCGTCAAATTTGCCGTCAGACAATATAACAAAGTTGGTATTCCTTCACTCGTTAGATCACAATATGTTTTAGATAGGAATAAAGAGATGATAGAATTGTCAAGATAGAATTGAATTGTAAATCATCTGTGTAATTTACCTGATATCAACATACATATATTCAATTTCGATTCTGACTTATTTCTTCAATCCTATTTTTATCAATACTTTCGCATCAATTTTCTCACATATGACGAAATGTTTTCCTTTACGAACGAAATTGCTTCAAGGCATTGCAAAAGGAGAAATGATAAAGCACTAAAATAAGAAACACGTCCATCAAAATTCTTATCTTCAATAAGACGTTTTGTTTTAAAGGCAAAGCAGAGAGTGACGAACAGGAAATTAATTTGATGTGAGATAAAAATTTTATTGTCTTCTTTTATATTAAATTCATATCAATGCTCCAAGGACTCATGGTTATTACATATTACTGTTCTACTTTTACGTTCAGATTAAAATTGAGTTAAAAACTGTATCAAATCGGAAAAGAGTCGACTTTAAAAAAGTTTTCAATGATGCATAAAAGAAATTAGAACTGGAAAATATTTGAGTTATGCGGTTTATTGAATATTTGTGAATAATGCTTTCGCTGAATGCTTTTTAGTGAGCTTAATTCATAAGTAATGCTTCATAACAAAATACTATCTAAAATGTGTCCCATGAATGATCAAAATATTTCAGTCGTCCAATGAAACGCATCAACCCTAATGTGTAAGTACATAAGTCTGGTTTCGAGGTCATTTTATCAGAGGATATATATAAACAGAGAAAGAAAGAAGGAATTATAAGGAATATTTATAAAAGCAAAAAGAAAATATTTTCTGAATCCTCAAATCTGTCTTTCTTGAAAAAGGAATTCTCGTATGCAAGCTCTTATGCATATAAGGATAAAGGGTTTAGATCAGTTTTATTTGAAAACTTGGAAAAGGTTTCAGCAAATAAGATTCACCTGGATTTTGGGATATTGCAAATGCGATATAAAAAATTCGAAGACGATTTTCCAAAGTAAAAAACAAAATAAAGAAATGAATTTTTTTATGAATTTATTGAATTTATTGGTTTTTCATATTTCCATGAACTCTTCTTAAATTGACAATTCTTTGAATGGTTCACTAGTTTTATCCCTTCTTTTCCTGAAAAAGGAAATTATTCTTTTCTTGAATATTTGATTCAATCGAAACGAAAAGGAATCCTTAAAAAAATAAGAAATTTCACGAATTCTATTGATGCATGACAACATTTTTAAGTATTGCAAAAATTGAATGCGAACAACTTAAGTCATGGAATTAATTTTTGATATAATTTCATTTAATTTCATGCTTGAGCTTTGTATAAATTGAAGTTTCAAATGAAATTTGAAAAAACGTATCAAATTTTCAATTTTATCTTCTGGTTCATGCATATACATAAGTAAGCATGTATGTTCATCACATTTAACTTTATACTTAAATTGCTTTAGAAAAAAAACAACAAAGAATCATAAATTGAATTTAATAAAGAATAATTTACAAATTTCATTTTTTTGGAATGATATTTGGCACATACATACAATAAATATGTATGAAACATCTATGTAAATATGAAAAAGGAAACAGCTGGAGTTTGAGGAATTTCCTGACTCTTTTCAAATATCAGAAAAAACATTATAAATGTACACATATACTTACATATTATGATTGAAGATTTAAGCACACTGAACTCTTCAAATTGAATCGGAAATCGAAAAGATCGCATATCTTTCTGTAAGCTCAAATTTAATATTCTCAATTGAATAAATGTAATCGAGTATTCTACTTATATGTTTGATGTCGGATGAAGGGTTTCTGTTACCAAAAATAACTATAAAATGTTAGCTTGAAAATTTTCATAAAAAATTATTAAATAAAAACGTTTTCAAATTGAGTATAAAATTCGTTAGATAATAAGAAGGAAACTCCATTTCCGCTTAAGAAAAAATATCCTATTTTATACCACTTTCACGTTTTCGAACAGAAGTTAATAGAATCATACATATGTAGCATATCCGAAACAATTTTAATGCGAATAAAATGAACAGAAAATTCAAACCAAGCTGGGATGAAAATCAGATTCTTGACCAATGCATTGGGCAAGCTTTAAACTTTCAAATATTTCTTGCGCCAACGCACGTCTAGATATTTTCCATAAGGTTACCCAACATATAAATCTAATTCATTTTAGTTTAAAGATAATTTACATAAGNATTTCTACTCGTGAAATTTAAATCGATTTTTCACTTTTCAATCAATTTCAGATTTAAGAAATCATTGAAAAAAGCATTTTGTAAAAAACGCTGGTTTTTTTGCTGGTTTGGATTACCAGCATGCGGTTTTTTGGAGGAAAAACCAGCAAAAACCAGCATGCTGGTACCAGCAATGAGCAACCCTACCAATGCATTGGGCAAGCTTTAAACTTTCAAATATTTCTTGCGCCAACGTCTAGATATTTTCCATAAGGTTACCCAACATATAAATCTAATTCATTTTAGTTTAAAGATAATTTACATGAGCGACAGATACTTATTATAAATCTTATGCTCTAAATAAATAAAAGGGAAGTGTTGAAGATAATTTCGAAACTTAAGAATTGTTCGAATTTATGTTTTCGCTGCACGAAAGTACTCTGCAAAGTATCAATAAATCAAATCTTTCAATAGATATTTTCTTATCGAGAGCTTACTGTAAATATTTGATCTTTTCATAGAGATGGATATATGCAATAGTTTTACCATGAAGTATTTTGCAGTCATCTTTAGCCTAAAGATATTTTCATTCTCATGGCAATTCGACAGCTTTGGTTGGGAATTACTGGTCAACTTAAATCTGGCGGCTTTTCTTTGGGAATAAATCTGCTTCCACGAAGAAGGCTGGCAAAAAGTGAGATTTATTCTCAAGTCCAATTCAATCCATTCAATTCTTAACCTCAGCTCTGTAAAATATTTTATCAGCGGAGTTACTGATAATAAGTATTTAAAATAAATTCCACCTTCATTTCCAAGAATAGTTCACTGTCTATTTTGAGCCTAACATCATCTTACTGGCTGTCATTTCATGTCAGAAATGCCCAATATAATCTGAATGCTGAATAAACTCTGGTGGTGGGCGACTAAGATCTCTTTTTAAATCTGATGATAAAAAATGTTATTACGTATGGTATGCTTCTGATTCCTGATTTTGACTGCTTGTATATGCTGTTAAGTATCTGAATTGGAAATTTGCTTTTACTTCTGTCATGATGAGTTATAAACAGCTTATTGAGTATTTTTTGACCTTGTTTCCTTATGAATTGATCTGAAACTTGATTTTATAAACATCATGAAAACTTATACTTGTACATTGATTTGTAATCGATTTTCGTAGCTCATTAATACTTAACTTTCTCAGGAAATGTTAATGAGACTTATAGAGTTGCGTTCTCTCTTCATTATTTTTCTACATCAGCAACTTGATGATTGAGGATGATTAGAAAATAAAGAAGCAGATATCTTGGAATTCAGTTGCTTATAAGACGTTTAATTGTGTCGAGCTAATTTATTTCATTCGTTACGGGATTTTGATTCTCCTTCTTCTTCATTAACTGGGCTCAATTGGTTATCTTTCAACAGTTCATTGAAAGATTTAGACTAGGATAAAGAATGATCTCTTTCCGAACTTCTTCGAACAAAAACGATTTATATGCATCAATTTTTTTCATTTTGCAAAGTCTTATCGGTTTATGGTGACAATCAAATTAATTATTTCTACTTTTTTTAAATTTCACAAAAACATTTTCGAGGAGAAAACTCACAGAGGAAAATAAATTAAATTTCCATTAATGCATTTTCTTTTGAAAGATATTCCCTAGGTTGAAGAAAAAGAAACTTAAAATGAAATTAAGTCTTTAAAATGAGGATTTTCTTTCAATTTTCTGGTGGATAATTTGGGTAAATTAAATTGTGTGAAAAAAATATCTCGAGTTTTTTACGTAGATTAATGAAAATGATTAAATTTGAGTCGAATTTAAGGCTATAGGTCAACTTTTCGACATCTTTAGCTACTCAAACACGATTTTATATAAAAACTTAAAACCTCTTATATATTTTGCTTTAAATAGAAATTTAAAGAAGAAGAAGCTCAACAAGTTTACTAACATCATAGAAGATTAAGTTGTTAATATATTACAATAAGTATACGTTATGTAACCCACATACTTTAATAATTGAAATTTAAAATTTCAAAATGTACTTTATTAATGTATGTGAGTCTCAAGATGATAATTTAATATTTAATGTAAAAGATTATGCAATCATGACAGAAAATATTACCCCTGTAAGTTCATGAATCTAAACAAAACATATGTAAACTTTTTTTTACTTCCATAAATCTAAAGATACATAAATATATTACATGAGTAGCATCTTCTGCTTAAAGAGAGTTATTTTCCAGATATTTATGATAACGTAATATCTCAATTTACTTTGTTTGAATTAAATATGATAATTTTAATCTGAATCAACTAATCAATAACGTGGAATCAAAAGATGGAGTCTTATTTAATATGTAAAAAAGTATCAGGTGTAGAAATTGATGTTTAATTTTTTTGATAATAAATGAAGAAAGAAATAAGCTGATGGATCGACTTTTTATGTCATGCTGTCGTCATAGCTTTCACAATGGCTCTGTGAATGGTTATTGGTTTAATGTGTACACCAATATAAATGTATTCATGCTTTATCATCTTGGCATGACTTCAAAGTTGAAAAGATATGATTGAAAAGATTCATAAATGCGTAAGAACCCAATATTTATCAAAAATCTTTAAGTATAAGTAGATATCATATTTATTAGGGTATTCAGATATTTTCTTTTATGAGCGCACCCACTTCGTGATGCTATTTAAGTATAAATTAAATTTTTAGACTGTAGAATTATTTGAAAGTACTTGGGCACTTAATTAATAATTTATTATAATTATTGTTCCCTAAATATCCTTTGCAAGTTATTGTTAATACATGTACGCTCAATTTTCTCGTATTTAATGCTATCTCAGGCAGATGAATTAGGTCACCGCACTTTTAAGAACCATTGATAACTTACACAAAACCTGACCAAAAGGATTGAGTGTTAAAAATGGAACATTCCAATCAACTGTGCAGTTGAAAATTGAGAACAAGATGGCAAGAGAGCTTCGATTAAGGCTTTTATCGATAACCAGGGAAGCGAAAAGATTGGAAACAGACGAAATTATATTTCCGATAAAAGCACTTGTACCTCTTTTTCAGAGACTAAACAATTTAAATGAATGAGTGCGCAAGGAAAAAGGGTCGACACAGAACCGTTGTGCAGTCTTACGAATTTGCATTTTTTCTAGCTTAATGCTTTGGAAAAACATTTTAATCTAATTGGAATATTTATCAGGTTTTTGACCAATTAAAATCATGAGATTTTTTCTGTTCTGATTATTTTAAAACACTTCAGTGTTTAATATTGGAAGCCTTTTTTAGGTATTTAATCTGTTCGGTTTTTTCATCTCTTTTTTTATATTCATGGACATTTGAGAGAAGAATGCCCAAATTCCACATCATTTAAAGCAGTAAACGCTATCATTCATTAAAGAAAAGTCTTGGATTATGACATGAATTAATTCTCATTTTATTTCTTTACAAAAAGCCATTTCAGTCATAAAAAAGACGTTAAAGGTGAGCAAATAAAAGTTATAGCTCACATTTTTCATCTGTCATGAAGTCTGACAAGTAATTTCTCTCACCAAGCTATTCATCCTACAGCTTTGAATTTTATCAACAAAGACCATGAATTTAATTTGTAAGTAGAGTCCTATCAAAGAAAGAAAAAAGCTACGGCAACTTGGAATCGTTCTGCATTTTTGACCAAAGCTTTAAAATATCTCGAAGAAGACTCAATGAAAGCATGAGTGACGTGCTTATCAATGAATGCGCCCTATTTTCCACTAAATGCTTTAGAAAATTAATGGCTGAACATTAATGGATGTAAATTCAGTCTTTTTCTAAGACAATTCTAATAATCCCCATATTTTTTAAGAAGATTCCTTGATTATAGTAATTATCTTGACTATTTACTAGCCAATTTTTAAGTTTAATATCAGCAGATGAAGTCATAAACGTCGAAAAAAATATTTAGATAAGAAACATTCAAATAGAATTTATTTTATCACTAAAAGCTATTAGCGAAAATTTCTGTTCGATTAAACCAGATGCATGACCGTGAAAATTGTTTAATCAAAGTAAAATTATCAGAATTTTTCAACACGAAACATTCCTAAAAAAGGTCGTAAAATTGATTTTATTAGTTTTTAAGAAACCGTTGAGCGAAAGCGCAAGAAGAGGGAAAATTTAATCTTGTAATTGGATAATCATATTACAAGAGATCATTAATGTCGTGAAACTCGAAAAGAAAGATTGAAGAATGAGAAATGGTTCATTAAATTTTCGTACTAAAATCAAGAAATTAAATTGTCTCATTGACAGAGATCTTAAGGTAGATGAACGAATGTTTTTAAACTCTGAGATTCTGGAGACATTTTTTTCCAGAAACAACTTGATTCATTGTGTATACAGACAGCTTCGGGTTACATAAATAAATGTGTATTTGTGATTGGCTTTAAGGGAAAATGAATCTTTGCTAGTTTCAGAATAATGATTCCTTAATCTTTAGATTTTGTGTATCAAGGATTGTTAGAGACTCTTATTGTATTATTAACAATTTCCTTCTATTTATAATCAATAATCTGCATTGATTGAATTTGACACAAAAAATGGAAAACAACAACTTATCAGCTTTCAGTTTATTATGAAGCAATCATTTTAAGCCATCGCTCATCTCAGATTTGTTCAGTTCAATCATCTCCTTAAGAGTCAAAATTTTGTGTTGAAATTTTTTCCATATCTACATGATTTGAATTTAAATGTCAATTTCCTAATTTCGTTTTTGTAAATATTACTGATGAAATTTCTCGATTCTTATGAATCTTAATTTCTTCTCGCTTAGCAATTGAAATAATCGAACTCGAATAGCAAAGACAGAAAAAACCTTTGAACGGATTTAGAAAGAAACATTCGAAGCTAACCATTTCAACTCTTACCTTATGCCTTGTTTTTAAATTTTATTATGTTTATCGAATGAAGTTTGTCACATTCTGAATGAAGAAGTCAGTTATCAACAAATTACAATTTAAATATCTATCAGATATAATCAAATCCTGAGAAATGGATTCTTTTTGTAGTAAATTCATTCGAAATTTTTGAGAGAATATCCAATCAGTCGTTTCCGCAAAATCGATTTAAACTAATTTACCTCGTCAAAGGCTTAATAAATAATTTGTTTCAAGATCAATTTCAAAAGCGATACTCTTTTTATGGAATCTATTTCAAGCACTTTGGCAGTGCTAAATGAAATGAAAAACTTTCCAAAAACGGCTGACAGAAGCTATTAAATTTAATGATGGATCAAATCGTCTTCAAATAAAGGTTAGGAAAGAAAAGTTCGAAACAAAAATAACTGAGAGAACATCATTTATACCAAGCATTAAAGATTGAAATATATATGTACCCTCATGTTGTTAGTTGTTGCATTTGATCTTTTCTTAGAGAAATTTTTCACTTTATAAACCTTCAAAATAAATTCACAGTTCTGAAATATTGTGTGAAGTTGAATCAAATTTCTTATGGAAAAAGTCAATTTGAAGGATTTGCTGTATATATGAGAGACTGTATAACAATTTTTAAATGCTTCAATCAGGAGTGGTGGTCTGGCAAGCAGATTTCAAGTCTCATTTTTCCAGTTTCGTTTGCTAAAATTTCACACATAACTGATTATATTTTACCTTCTAAGTCCTGAAATTAAATTTCTTTAAAGTGTCGAATTTTGTTTAGTAAAATAACCGGCGAGAGAAACTCCATTTTACATAGCTTACTTTATGAATAAATTAAGATGTTATAGAGATGATATGATATGATGATATGCTAAGCAGGGATTTTGGTTCGTTTGATGTTGCTTTCCTAATTCTATTTCTATCAAATACAGAATGCTTTGATTTTACTTTTCTTTCAGAAGAAGTAGACAGGATAGCTAGCATTCATTCTTTAATTTTTCATTGATCCCTTAATTTTTGAAATGAAAAAGAAAACTTAGATCAAGTCCCTGGCGTAAAACGAATGAAGCTACGTAGATGAAGCAATCTTTGAGAAATCAGAATGTTTGAAAATCATACAAAGGCGGGAAAATGTGATTAAACTAATATTTATTCAGTCTCGGGTGGGGGAGATGGAAAGACAAACATAACATGGAAAATTACAAGTTGAACATGTTTAACACGGCTCATAATTATGTATCTCTCATTTCGCTGTTTATTTGTTCAAATCAACTGAACCTCTTCTTGGAAGGTTGATCAACGTCTAAAGTCATCACAAAATATTTTTTTAAACGATTTTTGAATGAATTTTATTAAAGTAGATATAAATATACGAACATAAAATTTTGTTGCTGTAGATCAAAATAAATGAGAAGAAAATTCTCGTCTGTTGAAGCAATAAAAATTTATTTATAAAAGTTGGGACAATTTTCTTGTTCTTATTTAATTGTTTAATTGTTCTTAAAAACTTTTTTCAATATGGAAATTGTACTGCTGATATTTATTTATGGAGATTTGAAAATAATCCTAAAATTAGACTGGGTCATTTATGAATATGTTTATTCATATTTCAATAACATGAGTTTGAATATTTCTTCCAAAGTATGTGAAGAGGGTTAGAATTTAGAATTTTAAAATTTGTTGACGGAAATCAATTGTGTGGGCCAGGGTCTCTGAGGAAAAAACCAAGGGATTTGAAGTAAAAATCCCTTTTCCCTATTTCCCTGCTTTTTCAAAAACCAGGGATTTTCAGAGACACACAGTGTGGCATTTATTTTGAAAATATATGAGTTCGATTATAGACTAGTAGTTCATAAGATACATTAATTTCCTACGTAGCTGTAAGTAAGACGAATTTCATTCAAAAATATACCTGAATATCGTTTAAACCATTAATCTTATTTTCATTTGAAAAGAGACAATTGCACATTGTGACTCCAAAATTTAACTTACTTTTCACATTTTTTCTACAGTTAACTTTAATAAATTGAATTTAATCAGTCATATAGCTGGTAATTTAATGAAATGACTTGTACTTAGGATAAACATTCATTTAATTTTGCTTTATTTAACAAGCTCATTCATTCTTCTTTATTAAAGTAAGTCGAGCTTAGATACACATACGCCCAAACATATATAAGTGTGTATGTTCCGCAAAAATACTACAAAATTAGTATGTAAATATAGGTATTCATTTGGAAAATCATGACTGGGTAGGTGGAAGATTACATTAGATATGATAATTTTATTAAATATTATCAAGAATATTAAACACTAAGCTTCCTCAATATTTTAAAGAGAGAATTAAAGTTAGGAAACGTCTAATGTGTTTTTCATTGTAATAATATCATGTCATGGCCATGATAATAAATTTTCTAATACGACGTATCATTCAATGAGTGCTTATTGGTATGACACAGCATGGCAATAACAAAAGCAATGGAATCTTCTAATTTCATTTAAAATTTTTAAGGCTGTGACGAAAGAGTAAAAGCTCTGAAATTTTGTATACATATTTAAATATAAATTGCATTAAAAGGTATTAAGTTGGCTAAAGATATTACACACATAAATTAAAAAAGACAAACATATTTATATCCATTGTATGTGTATATGTGGGTCTTTGTATTCAGACATACATTTGATGTTGGGATGTCAAAACGCAAGCAGTCAAGCAGTTGTAAATTTAGGATGAATATAAATTTTCGGATGAGTTCATGGGTCTGAAAAAATTTCTTCGGTGAAACCATTAACCGAGGAAATTAATTTCATAATTTATGTAATCTATGTTTTGTTTCCTTGTTTGCTTTTAGATTCTACAGTCAATATGTTTTCAATAATTACTAAAACTCTGATTAAAACAAAACACAAATTTGAGCTTTCATTACAGTTGGATTTGATTTCGTGTAATAAAACGATTTAGCTGCTATCCAACCGCAAACATAAAATCCTACATTAGCAATTTTCATAATGTTTTGATAAGTTGATTCTACATCTCATAATTTAAATGTGAATTTCTTGAGCGTATTTTATGTTAGGTACTTATGTTTTTTGCATTGTTGAATCTTAATTTGTAACTTACAGTTATTTGGAAGCTTTGACTGAATTTTTTATGCACAACAACAATTCTAAACTTTCTAAGAAGAAGATATAAAACAGCATCTTTACTAAAATGTTAAGAATATGTATCTAAGAATTTTTCACATGAGTAAGCTTCTCAATTGCTTGGAAACTTTTTCAACATAAAATCGCACAATTGAGAAAATATATCTAACAAACATTTTAAAGGGAAATCTTTTAAATTTTATTCAACCGTTCGAAATACGAAAGAAAATCACGAATTAAAGAAAAGAAAGAAATAAGTAATTTTTTAATAATCCTGAGTGTAAAAATTACCGAAATAAGTAATAATCACAAATTTACTCAAAAGCATCAAAATGAACGTCCAAGTACCTAAATACTTAAGTTAATATATATTCGAAATAAAAATTGATTCACTTGGTTGATGATCCTAATTTTTTTATTATAAATAGAATATGACGTTGAAGTGTGATAAATTACTACGTCTCATTCAATATTCTTGAGAAATCGATAGGAAATAAGTGCGTGAGTGTAAAAATAATCAAAACAAGATAAGCGGGATGATTCCATATGATGCTAGAATTTCTATACTAACAACTTACATTGTATAAGTAATTGACGTGTCATAAAATCTTCACACAAAAAGGTTTTTTACTGTTATGAAATGTAAATTAAAACACAATTAATCAATAAATTTTCAATGACGAGCGTAAATATCGTTATCAAGTGGAAAGTTAAAGTAGCAGTGTCGTCAAATTTGACATAAATTGACAATTTAAGTTCACATTTCTTTGCTTTTATTTATTTCACGAGAAAGTTGGGCAATTCTGTCTTCCTGTTTCCAAAACATCTTCCTTATTTAATTGTCGTAATATCCGAACAATCTAGCTGAGCTATTATTTGTAAAATTTAATATTTTGTAGGAAAAATTTACGAGATTTGTTGACAACAGAGAAAGGGATGGTATGAAAATAAATCAAAACATAGAAATTGTAATAAAAATAGCGATTTTATGGTTTTGAGACAGATTTGACGATTGCAGCGGATATATAAATAATCTTGTAGCTGGGAGATTAGGGAGGGACTTATAACATTTGTTTTTATGTTTAAAATAAAAAAAAAACAAATTTCACTTCTGAGAAAATCAAGTATTCTTAACACTTTCATATCTATTCAAATTGCCTTAACAAATTTTGTCTCGTTTCTGGAATAATTAAATTAACCTAATGCTCGTCAAAGGAAAACGAAAACTCAAAGAAAACGAATACAGTGAAGGTTATACACGTCTTTTGAGTCCTTTTACTTTCTCCAAATGCTGTCAATGGCAGAGGCATATATATACAATCTTACAAACTCAATTTGTTTCTGTCGATACACGTTCTCGAGTGAAGAGAAGCTTAAACAAAAACTTTGTCTTCTCTAGGTAGTCCTGTCTTTAATCACAGTAGCGCAACGTGATTTCACCTCGTACTGATGAAAAACGAAACATGAAGTTTTGACAAAAGTTATTTTTCTCTTTTTTTAAAACGTGTAAGAATTTTATTTTGGTTAAATTGACTAAACTTCATGAAGTAAAATGTTTTTTTAAGGAGGATCTTAAATATTTAGCATGATTTGCGGAATTTTTCTTATGTCAAATTGATTTTACATGTCTAATGCTATTTTCAGATGTCAATTGAATTTAGTCAGAGCATCGGCACTTTCCACGACGGTTTTAAATGTTTTAAACATGTAGGACAGGAAAAAAAAACCAGAGTCAACTGTCACAAAAATAAAGATCCATCTTCGAAGCTGTCTAAGAATAGTTTATAAAAAATTGTCTGCGATTGCAAGTCTTTGATGGAAATGATTTCTGACCGATAGCATTTCTGAAATAAATTTTCTAATATATCATTTGTCAAAAAAATACTTAATATCTTTTCACTTTTAGAAATACAATCATAAGCATGCATGAAAGTTACAAGTTCTGAACATATATATTCGGTATTCAGAAAAAATAATGTCAATAACTACGGACAAGCAGATATCATTAGGTTAGATATTGTCTGATATGGCGACAAGAGAGCCTTTGTTATTTTGTTCATAGGAAGGAATATTGTAAATGAATCTGAAATGAGAATTTACAGACAATAAAATGAATATGCTTGGTCTTCGACCACAGAATCAATAATAAAAATAAGTTTTCTTCAGACACTTAGTCCTCAAATTCAAAGAATTGCTTTGTGTGACGAAGTATCTAACGAAATTAATGGTTATGGGATATGTCAGAAAATTATAATTGTGAAAGCTTGCTTTAGAGCAAGAAAACAAATTCAAGCAAAAAGATTTATTTACCGCTTGAAGGAGATGCAATAAATATCAAAAATTGATTTTTATCACATACTTAATGGATAAAATCTGGAGTAAATCGACTGATTTTCTCGATGAAAATTGGAATATTTTTCCACACTTTCAAGCTATCCAAAGAAATCTACGAAAATCCAACTATTCACATAAATATAAAAATGAGTTCACGTTGCATTTGCACAGTTGCCAGTGATGAGTAAAACTTTCTGAAAATATTTAGCACACATTGAACCATCAACTTCATTGAAAAATTTTCATCTTTCTACTTTCTTTATTATCTTCCCGTGATGTTTCAATACTGACTCTCTGTGAAAACGAAGCTCAATTCTCATTTTTTTCTTTTAATTTCTTTAAGAAAAAAGATGAATATAAAAATGTGATTAAACGAAAACTATGAAACTGAATACCAATTTAAAGTTTTTCCAAACAATTTTAATGTAAATTTAAAATTAATTTTTTCTTGTTGAGTAAATCTACCAGGTTATCAGTTCAATGCATTTTGGATAGGGGAAGAAAAAGTGATGAAAAAAAGTTTTAACATTATTGAAATTTTCTCATGCTAGATTTTACTCTTTTTTCGTATGATAAAGTTTAAGCAGAATTTATGGGTTTAAAGTGTGGAAAATTCACTGCTATTCTGTGCGTTTCGAGAATACTTGTAAGAAAATATCTTTTTTGCTCTCAATTTTATTTTTATCAAAAATATCCAATTTCAAAATAGCCAATAACTAAGAAAATGTTTAAAAACTGAATACGCTGTTGGGAATTAAAAGTAATTTTTGAAATATTGCTTCAAGAGACAATTGTGTTTAGAAAACAAATTATCAAATATTTTTGGCATTTATTATGAATTTATTGATTTTCTTTCTCACGAGAATTTGTGTTTTTGTCACAAAACTGTAGCCTCACCTGCATTATTTATTGTCGAGTGCAAAGAGTATTTGAAATTCAAATTTCAATTGTGCTTCACATTGATGATTTATTGAAGCGATCTTATGCTAAAAAATTGATTTTTGTAAAAGCTATCAACACTTTTAATTTCACTCCAAAAACTGCATCTTCTGATATGTTGAGAGTTACTCCATTCAAGCAATGTTTGCTGTAAGCTTAAGCTGGATGCATACATCATTGCATAAATAACAAAAAAAAAAGAAAATACAATGAGAATACATTTAAGTATCTGAACACGCAAGAAAACTCCTTCTTTAATCAGAAATGGTTGAAGGTCAGTTAAACTAAACTCTCAAAGGGAATCCTACATAAAAAATATCTTCGCTTTTTGTTTACGTTCTGTTGATGTTCTTGTAAACTAAGGAACTATAGTGAACGATCACATAATGATCGTTCGGTCTCTCTAGCGAGAGAGCAAGAAGTAAGTTTATAAAGAGTATAAACGAGAGCAAGCAAAAATGAAATAAAAAATAATATTTAGTTCGAATTAAGAACCAGAACGGAAAACATAATTTGCGTTTTATTCCATTTATAAGAATTGACTTTCCAGGAATATTTGATAGAACACTGAGCAATCATTTTGGTCCTTCGTAGCCTTTGTAAGTAATCGTTCTGATTATAGAGATCACTGTGAAGAATTTTTTAACTAATGATAGCACAATATTTTTTAGGTTTTTAGAGAAAAACTAAAGGAGATTTATAAAAAAATAAAAGCAGTGAGTTCTTAATTCTAGAAAGATTACAGTGAAGAGAAGATTAAAAACTATTTAGTGTTAAAATAATTGTCACAACATAAAATTATTAAATTAAAGTTTCATTCAATTGTTTTAAGTGAAACAGTAAAGATAAAAGTTTCTGATAACGTAAACATTTTCACTCAGCGAAGAATTTTATAAGATTATCAAATTTCATTAGCCATAAACAAAGTGGCAACGTTTCATATTTTGTGAGATTGCAAGATTGCTGAAGTNGATAAAAAAAAATAAATAAATTTATTTGAAAGTGAAGTCGAATGGAAAAATAGAATTGAGAACGGACTCTTTTCAACATTTTGATTACATTTGCTCAGTAATTACATTATTACGAGTTTCATTATTTTGTACTTGCTCGACATATCTCTCAACAATCTGAAATATGTAACATATAAAATATGTTTCATTACTATTGCATTCTGAAGCTTTTAATGTTTGAAATTGACCAATAAATTTCCAAATTTTGACACCCTTATGATGCAAAGATCGAATGGTGAAAATTATTTCTAATTAGAATTGTGTGTAAGACATTTAAGAGATTTTTTCTAGAATTCATTTTGTGATCTTGTTAGGCTTAAAATTAAAACCCACCCAGTGCAATAGATGAAGAAAAAGCGTTACGATGATGTAGAAGAAAGTTTTATTACAACGATTTCTATTTTTTATGCTCGCAGAATTGTTTTAACGACATAAAGCAGTGAAAATAAAAAAATTGAAAAAATATTTTTATTAAATTGAGTAAAAGAGTTTTAAACAGTTTCTCTAATGCTTTAAAAGATCCTCAGAATATTTTTGAGATGCTTTCGTGATTTTTTGCTTTTGTGGATTATTTAAACAACTTCATCAGTTTTTTAATTCGTATTTTTTTAAAAATCATGTTAAGATCGGTATTTAAGTTTAAAGCTAACGAGTCGAATGCCCGTACGGCCGTAAATCACTTGTCTAACTCTAACTGAAAACTAGAGAGATTGTGTGATTTATGACATTGATAGATATTTCAAAACATCATAAAAGACGTCCATAATTCGTTTTAAAACGGTTAGGAAGATAAGCTTCGTTTTCGTTTTAAATAAACGACTGATGATTCCATTTTCTGTCATAAAATTTGAATGGGTTAACTTTCTAAAACGAAATTGAGGGAAATATTTGTTTGAAACGCTATACGTATGCATATATTTATGTACAACATAACTTATATGATGATCTTACACACATTCTTGTTTTTATTGAATGAGCAAAATTTATGGAGAATTTCAATGGAAAAGGTTTGATTAATACTTGTAGCAATGAAGTTCAAACCGATTTGATGTCGTTCATACAGTCTGTCAAGCATTTTCTCAAGGCATTTCACGCAACCACAACAAAGGATCAGATTAAAGTAGAAATTTAAGTTTACGAGATATTTTCTTTGAAATCTCATTGAAAAGTAAATTAAAAGAAACAAAAGGAAAGCGAAGCTTTCATTTAATTAAAATTCAACCGTCGTCTCGGTTTTGGGGAGTGTTGGGTCAACTTCGAAAGTTTTGGGTGATTTCAACAAATTTGCAAGTTTTTGCTTTTCAACCATCGACTTACTCTATTTATTTTCTCCTTTTCTAATGGATATTTATATTCATTTTTGATGATGTAAATCAGCAGACCAATTTAGGTAATGGACTTGGGACTTACTTTTGTTCCTTGAAATAGATTCGAGAGTGATGGAAAGTAAATACGAGTGATAAAAAAAGGTGTACACGAAACATTTCTGAAACTTTCTTAGGCTTGTGATTAAATACTTAAAGCAATAATTATTTTCAATCTTAGTCAATGAAGTAAAAGAAAATAAAAATCCTCGACAATGCCCCTAAAAAACTCTTTTCATTGTGGACTTTAAATATTTATTTAGTGACATTTTTTAAGCCTATTTTATTTCTTCTTGAACATTTTAAATTCTTACCAAGAATATCTTAATGCATCATCAGCAATGATTTGCTATCAATCAACGAGAAAGCAATAAACGTCCATAAATGCGATAATTCATTGTTAAGACCTTTGGGGCGAGAAAGCCTTTCTTCCAAATTGAAGAACACATTTTACGACAACATAAAGAAGAATCAGACAAATTTGGTGAAACCTAAAATTTTCTAATGATCTGACTATAAAACGAATGGAAAGAAATTACTTTAATTTTCCAATAAATTTAAACATTATTGCTTTTCCTTTTTTATTTTGTATTACTTTGTTTTGTTGCCTTTTAGCATTCCTCCATAAAATTTTTGTCACTGATTTATTTATTCATTTTCTTCCTTTTTTTCTCACTTTTCCGACAATCCTTTTATTCCAATCATGTCAGACAAGACGAGTCGAACGAGAAGAATAAAAAGCGAAGTGACTCCTTCAATAATGTCATGAGAATTATAACACGTATAAGCCTAAATTTGTGTAGTTATTTAAAGTTCAATGTTACCATGCTTCGACTCATTTGCTTTTATTATGACCGACGTATACATGTTGGATAGACCCCAGAAAACTGAGTAATATTTTATGCCATACGCAATTCACCATAAACAAAAAGAAAAATCGAAGAAGCAAAAAACGATGACAAAGGATAAAAATACGTTTTTATTTGCGTTCCTTCGTCACGGATCTCACCCGCAACATCAAGGATCCTTTGCCTCATTCTATCCCTTTTTTCAATCGAACGAACAACAATTATTCACAATTTATTTATCAACTTTTTTTTACATTATATTGTGATCGATAAAGGTGGAAAGCGAAGCGAAATTTTTAACGATTGAGGACGTTACAAGAGGATGATAAATAAAATTGAGAAGACTGAAATCTGTTTGAATGTGGTGATAAGCTGTGATAAGAGTAAAGCTAGAAGCAAAAGAAATACGCATGCATATCGAATGGAAGGGAATTCAGGTTAATCTGGTTGTCAGATGATGATACATCGGGAAAAAGAACCTAAGAAAAGTGGATAAGAGAAAAATACAAGAAAGCGAATTGTGAAGTAGCGTACGTAAAAATGCTTTCTTTTTTCTTTATCAATTTATCAGCCTTGAAAGAAATGAAAGAGAAAAGGGAAATTGATGACGCTAATGACAAGGGGAAGATTTATTCCCATTGAATATTGTTTAAAAGTCCCCGAGTCGCTTATTTCTTGACATGACAGAGCTAAAGATATCACAGCAGGGCAAATTGTTAAGGAATTTTTCAAGAAACATTACATAAAACGACGATGACTACGACGAGAGTGTCGCAGTCACAGGAATGATGAAGCAAATCAAGCAGCATTTTTCTCATCATTTACGAAATTAGTTTTTCCAATGAACTTTTATTTGCAAATTAAATTGAGTTTCTGTGTTAATTTTGCTTTGAATTTCTCTCACTTTATCGGAGAAGGTAATGAAAAAATATACATTGGGCTCACTCGCATAAAATAATAAAATCCCAGGCTTCCAAATGCTTTCGTAAGTAGTCCAATTCTTGTAAAGCTACACAAAAAAATCTAATCTCAACTTCTTATTAATATTTTTTGGTCTCAGTTGCCTAAGCAACTACTCTAGTCAGTGGCTTTTCAGAGTTGGTTTGCCGTAAAACTTTTACGTACTGAGCAAACGAGTGATAATGTTGAGGTAGGACTATTACGAAATAGTCCTATGGATTGTTAAGCTTCGTAATAAAATATTTAATCCCAAGTTATTAATATTTATACAATTCTTTAAATACTCGATCGAAAATAGCAAATGGATATTAAAAATTCTTCATATCCTTCCGTTTTTCAACATTTATTCTTTAACAGGGATACGAATTGGATATCAAACATATAATCATTGCCATTAGATCAAAGAGAAGAGTCTCAAAGTTGAATTTTATGTTCAGAGGGTTAAGGTTCAATATCGAAAGAGTTTGATTAGGGTTAACAATTCTAAAACTGTAATTGTATTTAATTTTGTTGTCAACAATATTAACTAACAATGATCCCAATATTTGAACTTCATCCAAAACTCCCAACTTTAACTTTTATATTAAAAATTTTGTGAAATAATAAAAAGGGTTCAATTTCCTTCATTGTTTTAAAATGAAATACCAATCGCTGAATGAACGGAAACTTTTAAGGCAATTAAAAACTGGCTGGTTCTAAAACGCGATAAAATCATTTGTTAGAATTAAAAAAAAAGGAAATATAGAAAAGGACTACTTAATAACAATCATAAATTGTAATTTTTTTTCAATTATTTTCTAAAGTTTAATTTCTGTGTATTTTGATCCATTTAATGGATTTGCAGTTATGTTAAAATGGCGTGCTTTTGATAAATTATGCATTTCAGAAATGTCGTTGCATACAGCATGCTTTAAAAGTTTTAAGCTACTACATAGAAGTTACCACATATATTCTATCATGAAATATGAAAGTAACTTTATAATGCTTCGCATCAGTGGCACAAACATTCTTCATTTTTTATATTTTCCCTTTGATTACAGACAGAGTGATCGTGACATTGCTTTTTTATACTTATTTATCTATACATAATTTAAAATCGCTGTGGTGGTTTACGCTCTCGTTTTTGCTCTTGTGAATTATTCAACTTCTTTCCATTTCATTCATATCTGAGGTTTCGTAGAAACCACATAAGCGCTTCCCTTTTTCCAATTCACATTCGCACGCACTCGGAGGAAACCTTAAAAGCAGACAAGAAAGTAAACTTTACCCTTACTCAAACGCTGAAATTGATTTGAATAACAAAAGTGAAATGTAATAAATGTTGAAATGATGTCAAAAAGAGCATTTTAAATTTTTCATTTCGATTCCCGACGGAAAATTTTATTTTTTATTATTTTTATTTTTCTTTCTGTAGACTGGCGTGCGTGAGAAAAGAAAATTATTCTGAAAAATCTTTTTCCAGAGTCGAGTTTTGCAGTCTCTTATTGCTTATCGTTTCGAGCTTGCAAAAAACATCGTTTAAAGTTTTCCCCTTAGAAAAGATTCGGTTTAAATCCTTCACATTTATTTCCGTCTTGGTACGACAAGATTTTAAGATTATTCGCTTCCTCAATAATGCTAAAATCGCGAAGCTCTTTTCTTAAAACTATAAAGCGGAAAAGTATAAATTTACTTCTACAACCGTGATTATCTACGCCACTCATAGATTTATATTAATTAGAATGCTACAATTTTATTTCTTCTTTCGTAATGAATTTTTTTGGTCGTTTGTCTTCTCCATTCTACATTCTACATTTTGTCTCGATATCAAACTGAGCAAAATTAATTTCATTTATCTGTGTGCTTATTACAGTTTCATAATTTCACCCTCTTAACAGCAATGAAACTAATTTTCCATTCATAACCACCCCTTAAGCCTGTTCAAACATCGTATTGTGTAAAATTATGGAATGACGAATGAAAGCTAAGAAAAACTGGATGAAACTTTCTTCGTGAAACATTTATATTTATTTTATGTAAATGTATGCTGTAGTATGCTGAAATAAAAGAAGATTTTTGATTAAATGATTGCAGTAAAGTGGATTTGGATCATTGAGGATATTAAAAAAGTTGACAGATATTTTATGTTTATAATTCTCTCAAATATGTGAATAAACTAAATTCAATGTATCGGGAAGCATAATTGCGACCAAGAATAGAATACGAAACAAAGTGTAATAAAGAAATTAAAATGATGATCGTAATCCAATACGGTAACTGTAGAAGTATCAGCTGAGTCAAGATAAATATTTATTAATCGATAAAATTTTTACGATGATAGCAAATCTTTCAAATCATATCTGATGGAGCATAATCAGACAAATGTGTTGATGGAAACTTCCAAACGTATCAAGTTCATCATGGTGCTATAAATATGCAATAATATTGTGTTTTATGTATTTTGCAAAAAAATTATATTGAACCTTTTATGATTCGCCGTCAATCAACGGAAGGTTTTAGAGCTCAAAGAAAAAAGTTCATATCATTGTATCAGTTGTCGTAAATGTTGTGATTCGCATACTTATCAAAAAAGTAACTGTGACGTGTTATAAGTGTTAATGTAATAAACGAAAATACGTACAAAAAGCATAATTTCATGTGAAAATATCAAAAGTTCAGCGTACGCAAGGCCTTTAATTTTCATCATCAAAGATGATAAGATTATTAAGATTTTTTTCGACTTTTGTTATTGTGACGACTGTAAAATGTATCGATTCTGTATCAACGTACATGGATGAATTCAACAATCATCACACCAAACATATGATGCTGTTCGAAGGACATCACCAGAGACATTATCACATGCACTTCGATAACCATTTCATTTATGGCCATAATGGGATTCAGGGACCTGAAGTTAAACATGGCCATCATTTTTATGGTCGACATAAGAGAAAGCATCATGAAATGGATCATGAATTTGAGCCAATTCATTGGCCAATAAAAAAAGAAGCCGTTGTCGAGGGTCACGTGATTCTCGGCGGACTGATGATGGTCCACGAACGCGAAGATAACATGACATGTGGTCCTATCATGCCACAAGGAGGTATTCAAGCTCTTGAAGCGATGCTTTACACTTTAGATAAAATAAATGAAATGAAATTGCTCAACAACATAACACTTGGAGCTCATATCTTAGATGATTGTGATAAGGACACTTATGGTCTCGAAATGGCAGTTGATTTTATACGAGGTAAGCACAATTTCCATATTCTTCTCATATATCCCATAAAGTTTTAAAGTTTCGAGAAAGTTCCATAATCTTCGCTCAAACTGGATATGAACTTAAGGTCGTGAACCTTAACTATTGTTCAAAACTTCATATGCCCAACTTAAACTTTATATTTCCTTATTTTCTAAGATATCAATTAACACTAAGGAATCAACAATTAATTGAGAAAAAGTTTTCAATGAATTTATAATTTCTGAAGTATTTCCTAATTCTTGAAAATTAAAGTTGGAACTTTTTCATGAAAATAATGACAAGAACAAAAATTTAAATTGAATCAGATTTCATATCCTAAAATCAATTGTCATCAATGTAAAATAATATTAAATTGAAAGTTTATATAAATTTTGCTTAATGAATTTCTCATTCAGTAATGTTGGGATGAAATTTAGCTAAATTCAACAAAAGTCGATTTGTCAATAGGTCTATTGAAATCACTGGCCTTATCTAAGTGTTAATATTATTCTGTATAGCGATGACAAAAACTTTTTATGATTATCTCTGTTTCCCGCGAAATGTTTATGGGAAGACGTGATGTAATCTCAAAGCCATGAGTACGTTAGCAACTATGAGTATCATCAAGACTTTTCTATTGCATTGAAGCGAACTACAGCCACATTATTATTGGATTATAGAGTGAATTTTCTTGTTTTCTTCTTTTATGAATTTATATCGCTTCATTTATTGGCAGAAAAGTTTTCAAGAAAGACCAACAACCGAGCCCTTAAATTAATACATTGATAAGAGCTTCCTTGAAAAGCTTTTGAGTTGTGTCTCGACTAAAACTGATTCATGTCGTCACTTAAATCAGCTGTTCATGAAATTACTTCAAGTAAACACGTGAAAAAAAATGCAATTTCCAAGGCATGCGCGAAGGTCTTCACTTTCAATTTCAGAATATTTCCAGCTCTTAAACAGCATGCTTTTCTTGTTTCATGTAAGAAGTTACATGGACTTTTTCATGTGAAGCTTTAATGAAAATGAAACTGGAAATTTTTGAAAGATTCCCAGATTTTCCTATCGTTTAACTTTCATTTCTGTTCCCGAATTCGATGCGCGCCTTAGTTGCAATCATTGTCTCAATCGTCGATGACTGGCACAAGAATGCTGACGCGTATTTAAGAAAGCGTGTTACAATAAATATTCAAAGATAGAATATATAGTTATACATTCAAGTGTAATCAATGAGAAGTGTTTTATTTCTGTTTAGAAAGTAATAAATGTGATTATGAATCAATAATATTTTAACATTAACTTATACACCACATGGAATTGACATGGATGGATAGAAGGTGACAGACATTGCTACATATGGACAATGAATAATTGCAAAACTTCAGCAGTAAGAGTGATTTTCTGAGTGATGGAATAAAAATAAGTAGCAAGAAAATGAGATAAAAAAAAAAAAATAAATTTATTTGAAAGTGAAGTCGAATGGAAAAATAGAATTGAGAACGGACTCTTTTCAACATTTTGATTACATTTGCTCAGTAATTACATTATTACGAGTTTCATTATTTTGTACTTGCTCGACATATCTCTCAACAATCTGAAATATGTAACATATAAAATATGTTTCATTACTATTGCATTTTGAAGCTTTTAATGTTTGAAATTGACCAATAAATTTCCAAATTTTGACAGCCTTATGATGCAAAGATCGAATGATGAAAATTATTTCTAATTAGAATTGTATGTAAGACATTTAAGAGATTTTTTCTAGAATTCATTTTGTGATCTTGTTAGGCTTAAAATTAAAACCCACCCAGTGCAATAGATGAAGAAAAAGCGTTACGATGATGTAGAAGAAAGTTTTATTACAACGATTTCTATTTTTTATGCTCGCAGAATTGTTTTAACGACATAAAGCAGTGAAAATAAAAAAATTGAAAAAATATTTTTATTAAATTGAGTAAAAGAGTTTTAAACAGTTTCTCTAATGCTTTAAAAGATCCTCAGAATATTTTTGAGATGCTTTCGTGATTTTTTGCTTTTGTGGATTATTTAAACAACTTCATCAGTTTTTTAATTGGTATATTTTTAAAAATCATGTTAAGATCGGTATTTAAGTTTAAAGCTAANTCACATTGATGATTTATTGAAACGATCTTATGCTAAAAAATTGATTTTTGTAAAAGCTATCAACACTTTTAATTTCACTCCAAAAACTGCATCTTCTGATATGTTGAGAGTTACTCCATTCAAGCAATGTTTGCTGTAAGCTTAAGCTGGATGCATACATCATTGCATAAATAACAAAAAAAAAAGAAAATACAATGAGAATACATTTAAGTATCTGAACACGCAAGAAAACTCCTTCTTTAATCAGAAATGGTTGAAGGTCAGTTAAACTAAACTCTCAAAGGGAATCCTACATAAAAAATATCTTCGCTTTTTGTTTACGTTCTGTTGATGTTCTTGTAAACTAAGGAACTATAGTGAACGATCACATAATGATCGTTCGGTCTCTCTAGCGAGAGAGCAAGAAGTAAGTTTATAAAGAGTATAAACGAGAGCAAGCAAAAATGAAATAAAAAATAATATTTAGTTCGAATTAAGAACCAGAACGGAAAACATAATTTGCGTTTTATTCCATTTATAAGAATTGACTTTCCAGGAATATTTGATAGAACACTGAGCAATCATTTTGGTCCTTCGTAGCCTTTGTAAGTAATCGTTCTGATTATAGAGATCACTGTGAAGAATTTTTTAACTAATGATAGCACAATATTTTTTAGGTTTTTAGAGAAAAACTAAAGGAGATTTATAAAAAAATAAAAGCAGTGAGTTCTTAATTCTAGAAAGATTACAGTGAAGAGAAGATTAAAAACTATTTAGTGTTAAAATAATTGTCACAACATAAAATTATTAAATTAAAGTTTCATTCAATTGTTTTAAGTGAAACAGTAAAGATAAAAGTTTCTGATAACGTAAACATTTTCACTCAGCGAAGAATTTTATAAGATTATCAAATTTCATTAGCCATAAACAAAGTGGCAAGGTTTCATATTTTGTGAGATTGCAAGATTGCTGAAGTGAATATTGAAGTGAATTGCATTCACATTTTGGTTGAAAGAAAATATTTTTTAGTTTATGAACACTTTTATACACAGGGGAAATTTTAATCTCTCTTCACCGATTATTTAGGGTAGTTTTAAAACTAACAACACCTTATTAAATACACTGATAAAAAAAAATATTCCTGAAATATAAGTTTAGAAAGACTTCACAATTCGTTTTGATAATGTTATCAATACTCACAGAATTAATACATAAGAGTGTAGGAAGACTCAGCACATGAAGCCTCTCACATTAATTTTTCGTCAGTTTCATATCGTGCAATAAAATGAACGCATGAAATAATTTCATGTCAAAGTACTAAAGAGTAGAGATATGAACGCTATCTATGAAAGTGCTTCTAAAATGATTTCTTTCCTTCCATTTTGAACAAGTTGAAAGCTATCAGGATCATTATTCTATCGTTAGTTTTTTTAGAATTCAAGAGCAAGAAAATATGCGAAATATATAGATATGTATTTAATGCTCAATTTGTTTTTCCCTTTTTCTTTCATCTTTTTTGCAAGAGTTGTTTGCCGTTAAAGCTCACATCATGCATGCGTGATAAACACACACAAACACACGCATACACGTAACCAAACATTCGTGAATAATCTTCTTGTTTTGTATAATATGCTCTTCTTATCGCACGAAACACTCAAAATATATTTTGACGCTTTCTTTGCTTTTTAATGAAAGATTTTTATAGCATTCTCAAGTGAAAGCTTATTTACTCAAATCTATTTCAAACTGAACTCAGTTAAAGAAGATATTAACAATGACAGTTAAATTTTTAAAGTTTTGAGTGGTGAATTGCAATATTTCTTGAATATTTATTGTCATCAAATCATGTTCATCTCGTTTAGCTGATTTGACTTTTCTTTTATAAAATATAGTTAGCGAAAATAACCAGACCAAAGCCAAAAGGAACAAAATAAATGTCATCATCCACTCACTTGGGGGAGGGCATTCGTATCGTAAAACTCTGTTTTATGACTTTTCTTTCTTTTGTAAGATTTTTTTGTATTACATACATTTATTCCTAACATAACGAATGTGCTGGCTCTGTGGAGGCACGTATCAATTAAATTAAAAAATCCCTCTTCCATCAGTCCATCCCATTAATTTGGTTGAAAAATATTTCAAATGCTGACTAAAGAAAGAAATGAACAGATTTGTGAAATTGACCACTCAACTTAGATATTTATGGAATTTTAAATTATTTTTAACAATTTCTCAAAACTAGTAGATGATCTTTAAGAATGGTTATGAAATGTCATGCATAAATTATGAGTCAAAATGTAACTTATTATGAAGTATTGAAATGAATTTCTGTTTAAAAAACCAAACAATTTTATCTGTCTTAAAAGTAATCTTTCCATAATTTTCAGACTTCTTGAATTATATGATATTTATATACACTCTTGAGACTTGAAGATATTCGGCTATGAAAATGAACTTTAACATAGGCTGGAATATAAAAGCTTGTAATCAAAAGATATAAAAGCATTAAACATGTCGAAAATTTTTCTCCCTGATTTCTCACTTGTTTATCGATCGAAATATTGGACCAAGTTTTGCTGTCAAAGGTTTTTTTTCTTGCGTTTGTTCAACAACTTATCCATGAAATTGGATACCCAAGAAAAAAAACCAGCTTGAAACAGTTCGAAAGAAATTTCAAGCTATTCGTCAATTTAACTACTCTTGATTACTAAATGATGATTCTGGAACTTTTCTCACTTAACTGTTTAGACAGTTTACGTAAACTTGTGAACCACATTTGTGTGTACACATGAAAATGTTTGGTTTTCCACAAAACATCGATCAGAGGAAAATTCTTTGCTGCACTTCAATACGGATACGTGGTTAGTTTCAATATGCCAATAAATGTCAGTTGCATTATCTTGAGTACTCTACAGCATTAAATTTATTGAATCTTAAAACTGTGTCTTTACGTTTTTTGTTTTCGAAATCTCTCAATATCTGTTTACTAAGCTCTTAAATCAGTTTAAAGAGAGTTTGTTTTCCATTTTGCAAGCTTTCTGCTTTAACTTCATCATAAATTGAATTTTCAATTAAATTAAATAAGTTTCGATTACTCATTAACTTCCACTTTTAAACCTTTTTGTTTTTAATACTTAAGTAAAGCGTTTAATTGCTTTGGTGATTTTATCCATTTTTTAATGACCACATTAAGTAATTGCAATATAAAATTCAGATGATTTAATTTGTTTCTGAATTTATAGAATGAAAAAAAAAATTAAATTGGTATTTATAGACAAATAAATATTTTTTAATGCTCAAATATGCTGTTCGATTATAAATTGAAATATTTTAACATTAAGGCACTTTTAATTTCTGTTTAAAAATAATCATTTAAAATCTCATCCATCTGGTATGCATCAACTGATCAATTTGACCATAAATGAAGAAAAATGTGAAATTATTAATTGAATGCTTTCTGAGTGTTTTAAACTGTAGATTGATTTACAAGTCATGCCATTTTATAGAATAAATTTGTCTAACTAATCCTAAAATGAAATTATGATCAGACAAAATGTAGTTAAAATAGCCTCTAGTGACTATAGATAGCAAGATAAAATATTCAAGAGAAGTTGTAGATACTTCTTAAAAGTTCTTTTTTTTGTACATATGCAAAAACAGTTGAAAGCACTATCAACTAATCTTGCGTCTCGTAGTCTCAACTTCACAACCACTACTACAGGCATCCTAGATTCAATGTTGCATCATTGTCTTAAAGTTGGGGACATTAAAAGTCAGTACATGTGAAGGGTATGGGATTATAAACTTCATTCGATTTGTGTTCTGAAATAACAAGATCTAGCGGAAAAATTCTTTTCCTATTGTACAAGGATTGATGGCGACAAAGGGGATGAAAGTTACAGATGGATTATATTTTTCCATTTTTTATTCTTCACCCCAAAAAAATTGAATGACAAATCTTCGGCAATAATCATCTTTCCATAAGAATTTCATTGAGATGGAGAAAATGTCAGCAGTAGATTTTATAGGGCAGTAGAAACTTGAAATGAGAAAAATACTCTTCTAGTTACATTTAGGGAAATCAAAAAAAATTGACAATTTTTTCTATGTCAGTTGACCATCAGATATTTCTGTCTTTAAGTTCGTCAAAATTTGTTTAAAATTTTCGAATAAAAAGATATAGAAAGCTGACTATCAATAATCATCTACTTAAATAAATTAACCCACAAAAAATCTTATTCCTAGTTATCTAATTGAAATTGTCAAATGACTTCTCTACTTTATTTCATACATATATGAATGAATGAAAAAATAAATAAAAGACATTTTCGGCTAGAAAGACCAATAGAGAGAGAGAGAGAGTTAATTTATGTAGGGGTTTTTTCAAAGGAACCGCAAACAAGATGAATGAAGTTTTAACTGTTCAAAATGTCAAAGCAATTGTATTGGTATGGAAAAGCTTTTAACCAAACACTTAACATCACTGGACTAATAAAAGTTTTTTATATCCTACCTAATTAGATCTCCGAATTTAACATTCAATTGATTTCAGTGATTTTCTGCCTTTTGATTAGGACAAAACATTAAAAATATTTGTCCCACCATTATGTTGTGTATATTTACATGTTTCTCCATGTCTATTTAGATGTTAAATTAAAATCCTTGTTTGATGCGGCTATCAACATTTATCCCAGAAAAACAAACATTTGTCTGAAAAGTTTTTGATATAATTCAGCATATTTTGCACATATTTCAAGCAACATAAACACATATCAACATGATAATGTTAAATATTTTGTTAACATCAAAAGTTATTTCAAACAATTTGATTTTATCATTGTTTTATATGAAAGTATTCGTTTCTAATTTGAATCAATTTGCTGAGTTGGAGATTTGTGTTAATCCTAGATAGATTAAAGCGCAATCAAATGGAAGATTTACTTATATTTAATATGATCAATGAAATTTAATAAAATTCTTTTGTTCTATCCCGATAGCTTTCATTTCGTTTTATGAAACTTTAGGGAAAATGTGTATCGTAGATAGTATATTGATGCCTGTCCGCTTCTTATGCTGCGCTCTGTGCCGTTGTTCTTTTGAACCATATGTGTAGAAAACGGAATCTTACAGTTTCTTTTATCTTTCCCCTGTGTGCTTTTCAAAGTCCATACAATAAAAATATTTCGTCCTTTCCGTTTTGCTCTCTTTGAGGGTAAGTGAAATTATGTATTTTCAACAGCAATAAACAGAACAATGTTGAGTTATGTCCGTCGAAGGAATTTGTTTCAACCCTTTAGTCCCGATTTTTCATTAAAAATATTTTGCCAGCCTCATGGTACCTTCAGGAGTAAAATTACCTTAATAAAAACAGCTAGTGAATTCAGCTTTATTTAAAGTAAACGAAACAAATAATTCAAGGGCAAAAAAGAGTATTCACTAACAGTTGTTGCATTTCAAAAGCTTTTTGTTTCTTGTTGACCATAAAATGAAAGAAAAACGGAGGTTTACGACACTTAATAAGAAAAGTCAAGATTAAAAATATAATCTTTTTTGTTCTTTCGAAGAAAACTACAGCATCTGTATTTGACGGCTGTTACAACTTATTTTATACCTAGCTTAACGAACATTCAGAGTTTTTTATTCCTTCTGATGAATATTTAAAAATAAACTGTTTAAAAAGTTCAATCAATAATATTTAAGATGATGCTTTGAACTTCTTTTCCGTCATTATTTCCATCTTAAACAAAACGGAACATTAAAAGTCGTTGTTAAACATCTAGATTTAGATTCAAAACGAAGGCAAACAAAATAAATATTATTATTATTATTTCTCTTTTCAGATACGATGTCATTAAAGTCAAGAAGCTTAGAAACATCACAAACTTCATAGTGAATCATAAATTGTTCAAATGATTACCTAGGATGGTGAAATATAAAGCAAAGTTGTTTATATTCTGCCTTCTGGCTTCAACAGGAATGCTTCAAAATTTATCGAACGAAGATGTATCATCGAAAATAACAATCAACGTTATCGCAATGGATTTTCAAAATTCAAGCTTTGATCCAATAAACTTTTCTATGGTTGCTGATGAAAACGATACAACAACGGATTATATGTTGGATGAAACAATGTTGAACTTCAACAATGCGTCAATCGATGATTTCGGTTATGGTGGAAATTTTGAATCTTTAGTCAACTTTAACCACGATATACGTAAATTTACATATGGATTAATTACAAATCATACATTAGCGAACCGCAATGAGAATCCCTTACTCAAGATTGTGAAACGCTTGAATTCACCACCCTCTCTCAAATATGATGAGTCAATTCATTGGCCAATAAAAAAAGAAGCCGTTGTCGAGGGTCACGTGATTCTCGGCGGACTGATGATGGTCCACGAACGCGAAGATAACATGACATGTGGTCCTATCATGCCACAAGGAGGTATTCAAGCTCTTGAAGCGATGCTTTACACTTTAGATAAAATAAATGAAATGAAATTGCTCAACAACATAACACTTGGAGCTCATATCTTAGATGATTGTGATAAGGACACTTATGGTCTCGAAATGGCAGTTGATTTTATAAAGGGTAAGATTTAAAAATTCATTTTTGAACATAGTCGTTGAATATTCATGAACATGACAGAGTTCAATTTTAGTGTTTCCTTGAATTTTTAAAAATCTTTAACCGAGAAAACTTCTAAAAGTTCATGTTCATGAAAATCTGAAAGGATTTTATATTTCCGCAAAAATCCATTTGGTTGCATGCTAATCTATCTTATCTTAGAATAGCATCTGGAAAGAATATAATTTAAGTTATTCCTTATTGTTCAATTAAGGTTGAAGGAATTATTAAACTGTCATCTTATCAGCATTCAAATATGAAGTTATTATTCTTATCTCATCTGAAATCTTTTCCTTTAAATGTTCGTAAACTCTTGGGATACATAAGAAAAAAGTTTTGTGCTTTAAAGTTGAGCATAAGGTTTTTAAAGTGCGAGTCGAAACCTTAAAGAATATTTCAAATATTTATGAATGTACAATCTTTCCTCGGTATATAAATATGAAACTTATTCAATTTTTTGGTCGGTTTTCAAACATTGTGAAAGTTTTTAGATCCTTTCATTCAGATACACTTTAAACCATTATCATCATCAACATTTAACCGTTGCTTTCTTTCGTAAAATTGAATGTTAGTATCTTCAAATAAAATTTTATGATTTTTAGATAGTTTATTCTGTGACAGTTGCTTATGTTCTTTTTCTTTCTCTGTTGAATCCAAAATATGGAAATTGATATTTAAATTCCATTTTCTCGACACGAGCTGTTTTTGCCCAATTTACCTTCAACAAGATGAAAATGTTATGAAAGAGAAAAAAAATGTAATAAAGTCAGTTATTTTTACCTAAAGGGAAAACGAAAAGAGAAGTGAATGAAAAGCAATTTCACAACCCCAATAATGTCTTCAGGAAACCCCAATAAAAATGATACAAAAATTTCCTCGGCTTTCGAGTGACTCTTTGGAAGGGAAAGCGATTTTTGAATAATATATTTGCATGTTATCAATTGAGGAAATCTTTTTAAATCCACCAAAGAAACAGGAATTTCCTAGGGATGTAAAGAAAACTTCCCTCGACCTTTTTCTTACTTTATCACGACGAAACAACCTTAATTCGACGAATTCACTTCTTTTGCGTTTTTCTAGCCGGTCTTTTAAAGAAAAACTTTCTTATAAATACAAGGGAAGGTTCACAGTTTACGTGTTCTATCTGCAGCAGTTTACTGTTGTGACAACATTCATTCAAATGGGTTTTTTTTTCATTACACTTTTAGGAAAAGTGGGGGTTAAAACAAAGTTGTTTGGCAAAAGTAAATTACAATCATGTCAACATGTCAATTTTTAAGAAAGATGAAAGAAATTCGTTAATGATTTTGTAACAAGTTGAAGAAAAGACTCAGTTAAGCTTTTTCGTTTTTAATCAACAAGTATAAACATCATTAAAATATGTTTGAAAACTTGCTGAAACATGAAATATTGGACGACAGTTAAGTGTAATGATAGACATTCAAAGTCATCTTTAAATTTTTTTTTATTTTATTTTGTTTGAACTGAAATTTAGCAGTTCTCATTATCTTGATGTCTGTTTCGTAAATATGGCACCCCTAGGACAATTTATTATTAGAAATGGAAAAATATCAACGTAGACATTTCAAAATAATGTTTTCCACTAAATGACGATTCAAACAGAATGAAAAATATTTACTTCAAATAAAAGAGACAAAACTGTATGAATATTTCCCAACGTCAACCCTGCTATTGTTTTACTATTTTCATAAAAATATTATTAATTCCGTATTTTATGAATATTTGTAGGCCACAGAGAAAACTTCATAAAAATAATTCCAATAATTTGAGTCTCTCCATAAAATCAAACAGGAAGACACAAGCCTTCGAATGGTTCTCTCTCTATAACCAGAATTTTTAAAGTTTTTGGTCTTATTAAATTGTTTCTAAAAATATTTCTGTATATGTCACTAATGGTTGTCAAACAAAGGAACGAACACTAATACAAAGTTTCCATTTGAAGATTTTCTCTTTAATAAAGATATTTTCAACGCATTGTCATAAAATGTATCAACTTTTATGAGTGAAGTTGCTGCTCTAACTAAATAAGTTAGAGTGTTATTATCTTTTAAATAATCATAAAAAATTCTATACGAGTTTTTACTTTAAAAAATATCAAATGAGGCGAATTACAAAAAAGATAAAAAAATTGAAAGTTTCAAGCACGTGCTGAAGCCTTAAGGAGAAGATCGAAAAATTTTATCTATGATTTTCTGAATTATAAAATTGATAAAATCTATATTGGAGGAGCGTGCATTTTAAAGACTTAAGAAATGGAATTGAATGCCTTGGGTGTACTTAAAAATAAAGGCTGTTAAGAAGCAAAACTTCGAATCCAATTACAAACTAATGTCAACCTTTCAAACTACAATTTCAACTCTTAAGGTGCGCCAAGAAAAAGAAAACTTTAAACATGGAAAATTTCCATTTTCTTGTAGAAAAGACCTTATCAATGACAAGTTACGCTCATGCGGTATTTCAATACATATGTTTCAAAGTGGAAAAAAGATTACATCTGATGTGAAAGTAACGTGTTGTTAGATGAACTTCTTGTAGATAAACTGTGAGGTTATCTTTGCTTGAAAATATCTCAACTTGAGACCTGAATTAAGTAAATTATTTTAAGCGACTGAAATTTTTGAAATTCGGAATATTGCCTGTATTCACAATTAACTTGAAAAAAATAAATTAAGGAAGAAATTAAATGTGAAAGTTCATAAATATTTAAGTAATGTTGGATATTAATAACACCCTTTGATGATTGGATAATGTCATATTATTTCGATTAATCTGAATTTAAGATGTCTCTAATGCAATAATTAACTTTCAATTACAGTTAAACTTCGATTAACAGATATTTCAAGGGACGCAAAAAAATATCTGTTAATCGAGGATATCTGATTATCAAGGATTTGAGGGTATTCATTAGAATTATTTCGGGTTTAAAATTTAAAAATCCGTTAAATTAACTGTTATCGCAAAATAAATAATTGTTGATTCAATTGTTTGCGAAGATTTTATAATTGCGGAGATTGTTGACTGCTTGATGTTGAATTGTTTCATGACATTTGAAATTGATTCACCATCATTCTTGACTTTATTAATAATAAGCATTTTTTGCTTATAAGTTCTAGCCTGGTGCTTTACTTTTTTATATGATGCTAACATTTTTAAAAATAAAAAATCACTTTTGGTCTGAATGTGTTCACTTTTTACAAATCATATGAATTTAAATAAAACAATCGTTAAATTTGAATTTTGAGCAACTGAATAACTGAAGACCCCCGATTTTAAATTTTTCAGTTTATCAGCTTATTGAGGTCAGTTTCTCATATGAATTTCACCACCGTTTATCGGGGAATCAGTTAATCGAGGATATCTGATAATCGGGGCAATTCTTCACACAAATTCGAGTGTGTGCCAAAAAATATCTGCTTATCAAGGATATCTGATTATCGAAGTAGCAGCTTATCGAAGTTTAACTGTACTATAAAATTTTCTTTTCTTGAATGATTCAATATGCTAAAGAATGAAGTGAAGTTAATTGTTCATTTTATCACACGCGATCGTAAAGGGTACGTTCAACAGGTAATATAAAGAGTAATTTTGTTAAAGCCAACAATGAGCATAAAAAGTTTGAATTGCCTGTTCAAACAATATGCCTTATGTATGTGTATATTTTAATTAAAGGAAGAGAAGTAAACCAAATGAGTAGACCATAACATCATAAAAAAATATTATTATTAAAGAACAAAATTAGAAAATAAAACAAAAATGAAGTGGAATATGCTTTCCAACTTTTATATCTGCCTCTTAGATATTTTTTCTTTTAATTTCATATCACATAACATAATACCACAAAGCATCGGTTGGTTGTGAAATATTTATGTAGGTTGATGACTATTAGATATACAAAACACATGACTAACAAATAGCTTTTTCATTAATCAATATGTTGGGGAATTTTTTGAGTTGCGTTCTTATGATCTTTCATCAAATATTAACGACTATGAAAAGTACTTTGACGAGAACTATGTGGAATTTTAGAAAAGAAGACAAAAACTTAGACATTTTAAAGCTCTTTTTCATAACGATCTTCTTAAAGATAACAAATGCCTTCTGAATTGCCAGATAGCAAATTTCTTGTATTCACTTGCCTACCGCAAACACAAAAGTAACGAGCTGAAAACTTTTCTGTAAAGAAAAGTTTAACGCCATTGTGAACTTTTCGCTTATTCATCGTCATTTCAATGCTCAATGGAGTAAATTGATTTTCTTATCGCGCTGCACGCAAAACCGCACACGTTAAAAAGAAAGAAGCTGAGACATATTGCGCGACTAATGGAACAGAAACCAGAAGAATAAAGAAGAAAGAGTATCAAGTAAAGTCATGAAACTTCCAAAGTTATATACAAACTTATGAGAAGATGTCCACTGACAGCATGTGAACGTATCTTCTTCTTATTGATACGGAAGTTATCGATAGAGAACTTTTGCTTCACATTGTTCAACCGAAACTTTTAAGAAGGCAAATGTTCGTTTGGGCACATTTTGGTTTTAAATATTTCTTTCTCACTGTTTGTTTATTTGTTTTGAGACACAACATGTAGGGTCGAAACTATTTATTCTATAAAACCCTTCATAAAACACCTTTTTTTCCCTTTCGAAACATAAACAATAAAGAAAGTTCATAAATTATGATTTCTTTCATAAATATCTCATTAGAGAAAATGACAAAAATCTGAATAAGAAAGTGAATTATTTTTGCCAATGTATCACGATGTTTTCCCATAAAGGTAAATTAAGTTTATTGAATAGGGAATGATAACTTCAAGTTGCTTTGATCATCACCACTAAGTGAAATACACAAAACCAAACTCACATACATTAATTTACTAGTCATTCTGAGGTTATATTTAATGGTTTCTCTGAATTCATTGTATCGATTCATTTTTTGAGCTATATTATTGGATTTTCTGTCATGTTTTACTTTTTCCTAAAGATCTCTAAGAAGGAAAACTCAGTTTTGTCTTTCTTTTCCCTCCTTTTATCTTCTCTCTTTTTCCGCCTCTTGTAGACATAGCATTCAAAATGAAGAAGCTTTTATCGGCTTTTCTGCAGATCAATTTTTCTTGTACATATTTCGAAAGGTCCAAAATAAGGGTGAAGATTTATAATGTTGATGATGTATTATTTGAAATAAAGTGGGTAAAGTTTACATACAGAAGTAAACAAGAGGAGTCTTTAAAAACTTTCACATTTCTTTGCTTATTTAATACACATGCTATTTATGAAAGTAGCCATAACTACTATAGAATATATTTAAGTATCTATTATTACTAAGCAACATATAAATCTTATTATTTCATCCATCAACAGTATTTTTCAAGATCATTTTTATCTTTTTTTTATTTTTCTCCATTTTCTTCCTCCGACATTTTTTTTTATTTCCAGCCGATATCAAAGCTAAGATCTAAGATCTAAGGTTTATTTTCAGCAAAAATATTTTGAGGCTAAAGAAAAATTAAAGAANCCTTTTTCTCCCCCCGACTTTTTTTTTTATTCCCAGCCGATATCAAAGCTAAGATCTAAGATCTAAGGTTTATTTTCAGCAAAAATATTTTGAGGCTAAAGAAAAATTAAAGAATTTCTGAGGAAGAGGTGGTAATGGTAAATGATTTGAACACGCAATCTTAGTATTCTCCTAACTCCCAACTTTTTTTTTCTCTTTCTGTCTCTCCCCGTTAATTAAAAATTTTCCAACTTCAATCGAATATAAAAAGAAAACATTGTTTGCCGTCGGCTCTGAATTTTAAAAAGTATATAAAAAGTCATCGTCTCAAAGCAAGGCAACAAAGTTTTTAAAAATCCAATTTCAGTTTCGTGAATTTATTTCGAGCTGGTCATTATTTATGTTGGAGGGAAAAAATGTAAACAAAAAATGATGAAAACAGAAAAACAAATGAAGAATAAAGGCAAAACTTTTTAATTATAAAACCATCGCATCCATTAACGTTGATTGCAACACACAGCTGAGATGATGTGGCTTTGTCGAAACAAACGATTTCGTTTCAAAAGCAGACACTTTATAACTTTTTCTGTTTTAATTTGTTTCAGGCTCAATAAGTAACATTGATGGAGATGAATGCAGCTGTAGCAAAACTCATGTGAGAAAAGTCATCAGTGGTGTTGTGGGGGCAGCGTCATCTGTCACATCCATTCAAGTTGCCAATCTCTTGAGACTATTCAGAATTCCCCAGGTGAGTTGACAAGGGTCAAAACTCAAAAGGAAACATTTCAATTGAAACTGGGATTTTCCCCTTGCTCGAAATCATCTGTAAATACCTTTCTTCTTATCAAACTCTTTAAAACATCGTTTACCCAAAATGAAATGAAAAAACAAAAGCTTTCGCCCCCAACAACTTAAGGTCTTTTACCACATTCAGCAGTTTCGAGTTTCTTGCTTCCGACTGATTTTACTTCCTGTGATCCGGAAGAAATCTTTTTCTTTTGAAATGAAACCGGTACGATAAAACCTGTATAAAGTATTTTTGTTTCCTATGATTATCGATTTCCTAAGTAGGAAAGAATCTCACCGAAGCGTTTGAAGATTAATTGAATTTTTGATAGACTCATAAGTATTGTTTTGAAACTATCGAATAATTTTGAAATCAAATGAATAATGAAAACGTAGAAGATTGATAAAAATTTTATTTCAAGTTAAATAAACAAATGATAGACAAGCAGTCAGAATTGAAATAGAGTAGGATTTGTATCCTGCTTAAAAACACTATTTGTCAGTTAAATCGGGCGAGAAATGACTAAGTTGTAACATATAAATCTATTTAATGTCACAGCAATTCATTGTGTTGTCTATATGTAATAATGATACTTAGTTGTGTTGTGCTTAAAAAGGTAGAATGATGAAAACACATACATTGTATTATCCTACCAAGTTATCTCTAGATCGATTGATAAATATTTTGATACTCATGATGTTTTAAGCAATTTTAGAATTAACTTAAGCAAAATATTGAATCGCTTTATTTAACATTAATAAACCAACAGGTGGTACTATTCTATCTATAAATTCTGTTGAATAACCTTTTGAAAACAAATATCTAATGTAAATAATTGCAAACGAATTGAAATTGTTCTTCTTCATTATGAAAAGCTAAAACAACCAAATTATTCATATTCAATTTCTATCAAGCTTTAACATTAATTTAACGTTATGTAATTTGCTAAACTTTTGGTGAAGCTGATTGTCTAATTTTCAAACCAGCATTTCATATTTAGTCTATTTTGTCACTCAACTTTTTGTATAAACTCCAAAGCCTAAACCTTCAGGGAATTGATGTTTGATCAATTCAGACAATTAGACTGAAACGCTGAAATTCTGATGAAAATATAAATGTAAAGAAAAGCATCGACGATTTTAGAAAGGGCGGAAAACGAGCTGCTGAAAACCAAAAGCTGATTGTGACTGAGAATTAACTCTTCTTAGTGAGAATGTAAACTCTGTCCATGAGCTTTTTAATATTTTCTTACTCAGATCGGAAGAAATTTTCATTTTCATCGCTTCTATAAAACAATACAAAAATTTATGTACATGTTCTTATTATGTACATAAAATATATAATGGGAGCTTTAAAATGAAAAAGGATCACAAAATGAACTGAAACAATAATTAAAAAATATAAAACTTAATTGAATGAAGAAAGCGAAATTGGGAAGAGACTTGAAGCTGGATGTTTATAAAAATTTAAGAAGTGTTTGAAAACGGTCTGAGTTCAAGTCATAACGATGAAGTTTGTTCCTGAAACTATAAATAGGACGTAGAAATTTTGGTAAGAAAAGAAACAAGGCTTGAGGCACGATGCTAGAATTAGGTGAAACTACAACTTATTTCAACTTCTCAAAACGAGGTCAAGTAGTGAAGATAGCATCTAAAAGAACTTTCCTTTCATACTGCAAAGAAAAAACAATTTATCAAAAATGATAATGTCATTTATAGACTTGAAGTGGACATAAAATGAACAGTTATGGCAAGTGAAATTCAACCACAAAAGCCTAATGTGGTCTTAATGCCCCAGGAGTTTAGAAATGTTAAAAAAATATTTTCGTAATAAAATCGCAAAAAAAAACATGAAATTAACAGAAAAGAATCATAAATAATCTTTTATCTAGTTCCATAATTTGTTTTATTTAGCTTCACAAAATGCAATGAAGTGAAAATTCCAATAAAAGCGTTAACCGTTAAGACTCATCAAACAGTTGAAGGCATGAAAACATGAAGAAGTTCAAACAATTTCATGCCTTTTTAAGCTCAATTTCATATTTACATTTTTTTTTCTTATTTTCTTTGATCTTTTGCCTTCTCATAAATATCAAAATATTGCTACAGCTAGGTTGATGTTCGAGCTTTTTGTTCTGATTTTCTCTTCAAATCATATTAAACTTTGGAAATCCATTAGTAGAAAGGAAGAGGAAGTGTCTGAATTTTAAATGTATTTCTTAAAATTTCAATTGTTTTCATTTTACGTCACGATATCCGCATGGGAAAATAAAAATTTTGAGTGTTTGTTGATTGTTGAATGCCATGAAGTAAAGTAAAAACATTTATCATAGAAAATCAACTCATTTATGCTTAGATATGTTTTTCAAACTTTTCTTTGATTAAATTTCACGAAAATAAAACTTTTACGCATGATTTTTATTAAAATTAACGTCAAGAAAGTGTAAACTGTTTTCCATCATTGAAAACTTCCAGCGTTTAAACTCCGAACTCAATTAACATCTCATCAAGAAGGAAATAAAATCGGAATAATGAATGAGTGTAAGAGAAAGTTCTTGTCTGTTCGACAATCTGATTGATGCGAAAGCAGAAGATAAGGAATGGTTTCAAGAAGAAACCTCTCACTCAAGTTGGAAAATAAAAGTTATAGAAGAGTAAATAATTTAATTACAGCTTCAAGGAAGAAAATCAAATTTAGACTTCAAAGCAGCGAAGCGTAAAAAAATTCATATTGTTCAACACTTTTGTTCGAAAAAAAATACGAAATTCTTGTTTAAGCACGTTTATATGTTGAAATATAAATTTGAAGAGAGAATGGAAAGAAGACGAAAGAGTCAAATTTTGTAGAGCTAATAAACAATAATAGAAACGATGCCCAGAAGGCAAAAGCAGGTCACAAAACGTGTAGAAAAAGTTCTTGAATTTTTCGCTTATGCGATGGAGGTAACGGGAGCGTTTAATCCCCTTTTAAAAGCCTCAGGGAAATGAGGAACAGTTTCCTTCAGAGCTCTACTCGTAATTTGTTCTGCTTCCCTTATTGCTTAAATTCTTGTACTGAGAAGAAAACTTATTTGATAAACAATTGTGGAGGCGCTATGGGACGATGGAATTTTCTGTTGTCTTCAGTCTCGTTATGAAACGTGTTCTCTCAATGCTCAGGGGGTATTTTTCGTTAGACACTCAAAAACGAAAACATTGTAATTTCGATTACGATACCATAACAAAGCGATAAAATTGAAGCAAACATGAATGCGAGAATTGAGTTTAATTCGATATAATTTGTGTTTACAGGTCTCATTTTTCTCAACATCACCAGAGTTAAGCAATAAACAACGTTTCGAATATTTTTCAAGAACGATTCCATCGGATCATTATCAGGTGAAAGCGATGGTTGAGATCGTAATGAGAATGGGATGGAGCTATATATCAATCATTTACGAGGAAAGCAATTATGGTGTGAAAGCTTTTGAAGAGTTGGAAGAGTTGCTTGGCGAACATAACATTTGTATAGCTGTCAAGGAAAAGTTGGTCAAAGATTCAGGAGTAGCCCAAGAAAGAGCATATGATACGATTGTCCAAAAGCTTTTGACCAAATCAAGAGCAAGAGGTGAGTCGTTTTAAAGAAATTAATTTTTAATTTGAACACTAAACTCAACTTAAAGTCAACCAAACTCTAACACAAAGGCTATAAATATTTAGGTCGTTGTTTGTTTAGCTGACACAGAAAAGAGAAAGAAGCACAAAACCAAATTTCTTCAACGAGAAACCTCAGAAAATATTTACGTTAAATGTAATCCTTTAAGAATATTAACAGCTCCAATCTTTGGAAAAGGAAAGTTTTAATCTGCTTTTATCAATATTCACGTATTGTCTTTTAGCTTGAGCCGATTGAAGAATGGGAAGATTCTTCATAGGATTTGGCAAGTTGCCATTTAAGTTATTTTCCTTCTTTTATCTTTTTTAAATCTCCTTGGAAAATTTAAATTTCCTCAATAAGGCTGCTTAAAAATTTGTTTCTGGCAGAATTTCTTATCAGCAAAGCCGACTTAATCTACAAAAAAACTTGTGGTCTTTGTTTTCGCTTTAACTTTTGCATATTTTTCAAGTCCCAATCAAGTTCATGGTAAATAACATCTTGACCGAAGAAAATCTCTTTCCTATTTGGCCATTAAACTCAAATGAAAATCTTATTATGCAAATTCCTTCGTTTTTTTAAGTTTAGAACGTCAATCTTAGAAGCAATTAGGATTAACCAAGATGAGTGAGTTGGGAGGATGTAACGGAATTAACCGTAATTAATTGACGTTTAATCGCACCTCATTATGCAATGAAAATGTTTGAAAATAGCAAAGAAAGAGAAAAGAATGGACGGAAGAGGAAAGACTTAATGAATGAAAAAGGTTGAGGAAGTCTTTTACTTTTAAAGTTGATGACTCGTTTTGATTCAAAATAAATCGAAATAACAAGATTTGCATATTTCGGAAATGATGTTTCGTTGTCACGTTTCAATGTACAAAAAAACTACATTAAGAAAGTAGATAATTAACCATAATTACTGTTATAAAATTATAATCAATGTTCTAAGAAAATAAACAATAACAAATGATGATGAAAATAATCGATTTAAAATTCCAACTTTCGTATCAAAAACTTCTAAAAACCTGACTTGGAAGTTATTTGAAATAAATTGTAAACGTGAACGATCCCTTAACTACTCAATTTCTCTTACAAAATTGAGTTTGGAAACAATTAAAACTTTCATTCAGGATGTTATCATTTTAAGTTACCAAAGACAAAATCAAAAGAGATTTATATTTGAGCCGAAACGACTTGTTTTTCACTGAAATTTGTTTTTAAAAGATCGAACACCGATATAATAACAATAAAGAGAAACTCTACAGACCAAAATCCTAAAATACCTTTCTCAACTGAATAAGTTTCATGTTAAAGTAACCTATATGTATGGATAAGTATAAGTATAAAGCGAGGAAGAAAGAAACGCAAAAAATAATCCTGAAGGCAAATAAAAGAAAGGCTGTACAGATCCTCCGTTAAATTTGTTTTTGTTTTATCTAACGATGCTTTGAATAATCCAAAGAAATTGTCCCTTTATGTAAAGCTTAATTGTGATGTGATTAGTAAAGAGACTTAGTCTGTCAAACGTGAACTACTAACTTGGGGTCAGGGAAAGAAACCGGTCTCGATTTTCCATGCATTTTTTTACGTTTCGGTTCTGGTTCTTGTACTGAGAATATAAATCGGTTTCGATCACTGCTTGTGGTTGATTTTTTTTTATTTTTTGCATAGAACGAACTTGAAAAGTTTTTCAAAAACAAAATTTTCCCTTTAAATTTCAAACACCTGAGCAGCCTTTATTAAAGGCTCGTGTAGAGACGCTCAAAAGCGAAGAGGCTTGAGAAGCGGAAAAGAAACTAATAAATTTTTCCACACTCTGCAAAGAAAGATCGAAAAAAGAAACTGAGAAAGAGAATCTATTCAAGAATAAGGAATTTTCATTTCGGTGGATTTTGATTACAATTCCGTGGAAATATTTTAAGCGGAAAGAATGATTTGAGGGAAATTGTATTACGTGGATGTTTAAAGAATTCGATTTCGCCTTTCACAAGAGCAGGTACATACTTTCACTTTTTTCACGAAAATCCATATTGCAAACATGAGCAAATGAAGAAGAAAAATTAAAGAAATTCTTTCGCGATTAAACGGGAACTTATTGTGTTTCGATTGTGACGAGAATTTCAAAAAAAGAATTAGGTAAGATTTTCGATAAAGTTATGTGCCTTATTACGTGCGAAGAATTAACAATCGAAAGCTATGATTACTTAAGTGTGTGATATAGATTCGATAAAAAATACATTTACGACACGGAGCAACCGAGACAAAAAAAGAAATCAGCAAATTTAAAAGCTCTTTACTATTATTCCTGAACCCTAATTAAATGCTTTCTTCCACCTTCCTGGGGAGCAATTAAATATTGCTTACTTATTTCTTATTCATCAATGGTCAATTAATGTCGTTACCGACTTGCAATAATACTAGATATACCATTTTCTAAGAATAAGCAAAACGGTTATTTTAGTTGTATCATGAACACTCGCTGTGAATATTTTATCCGATCCATTCCCTTCAAAAGTTCGGTTGAAATTTTCCTCAATTATAAATCAGTCATGGAATAGAATTTTATTTTTGGAATTGTTTTCAATACATGGAATGGTTAGCTAAAGCTCCTTAATGTCAGGTCGTTTCAAAATATTTCAATCAGAAATTATTCGTTCATTGAAAATTGTAAATTTCAGAAATGCTCGGAAAAGCTCGAAGAAATTGAGAGTTTTGTTATAATAAATATTGAGCAAGATTAGAAAAGGAATTAAACTTTTCAGATACTTCTTATATTTGTCTTCAAGGTGCTCTCATCTAAATAATCTTTTCACAAGACTGAAGTGCATCCAAAAGCCAGAACATCATTTTTGTTGAAGAAATTATAATAAATTTATTGATTTCAATTAGCAATGACGACAAGAGAAGCATTTACAAGCAGGTTCTCTGCATAAACAGATAAATTGCCCTACTTACAAAGATATTTCCACTCCTTACTACATAGCTACACTGAATGTGCCATGATGAAATCTTTCAAAAAGAAAAATTGCTTCGATTCATCTGAATATTTTTGATATGATTCAAATGTTGATATTATTTTCCATTATTTGAATTCTTTCACGCTTTAAAAATAATACAAAGCCAGCGATTTAATGTAATTTCTTATGACTATGAATAATTAATAAACGAGAGAAAAAGAGCTTTGCTCTACATTTCACCTGACTATATAAATTGCGTAATGTGTGTTGTGCTGTGAACAATAAATAAAATTAAGCCTAATATATGAACCATATGTGTCGGTTTACGAGTTTTTGAAAACAAAGAGTTAAAGACGGAGAAAGTGATGATAAAAGTACTCAAAATCATGCTTAAAGTTGCTCGTTTTACTCACATACCAACAATCTTTCATTCGCTTTCGAGTATATTTCGCAGACATAATACTCGTGAAATCTGTTAAAAAGTTTTTCACTTGGCATATTCTTCTCTAACATCTTAATCTGCAAGTCTCGTGCATTTTCAGCTGTGTTTTTGGAGCGTCAACTTAAATTTGAGATCTGACATGTTATCATAACAACCAAAAACAAAAGTTGGCTAAACAACTTCCACGGCTTGGGAGATATAAATTTTCCCTTGCTCACAGCTTAAGAGATAAAGCTTTGCAGAAGAAAAAAGAGCAAAGAAAACAGAAAACAAAAAGTGGAATTTATGAGACGACAAACTATACGGATTAAGTTAATGGAAAATTGATTAACTTATCTAAATAGCAACATTCAGCCATGCGATGAATGTCTAACAATGGGGATTTAGGAGAACCAACTTTTTCAAGATGCTTTTTGATGATTGATTGAGATAGCGCTGCAGTTAAAATGTGTAGCTTAAGCAAAAGATAAATTTGCCGTTTATTTTAGCGATGTATATAATGTCCAACCAACATACGCTTTAATGAATATTTTCTCGCATTGTGAGAGGGCAAGAAAAAGCAATATAATCAAGTTACTCAAGTTTTCGCCAAAAATTAACTTCATTAGCTATTTTCATTTCACTTTCCTTCAACTTTCATCCGGATTAAGATGAAAATCATGAAAAATAAACTTTCGCAATTCGCATTAATAAGAGAGCAAGTCAAGAAATAAGCAAGCAGACAAGGGCGCAAACAAGCAAGCAAAAAAGAAAGAAGTTTTCTCAATGATATTTCCCTTTTAATCTGTTTTATTGTTGTTTCAAAATGTTTTCGTTTTCTCTCCGTGTTTGCTCTGTTCACGGACGGGAATACGGGAATTCAAATAAAATCAACCTTTTACGCTAATCTAATTATGATGTAACATTTTTCTTTTAAGCGTAGAAGTGACTATGTGTGTTTACGTTGTATCGTGCTTTATGAATGAATTTATGTCTCTTTCGAAAAGCTTTTAGATAAGGAATCCTTCCTAAGTCTTTAGCATTCACTTCCATACCAAAATAGCTTTGCTGGAATTTTTGTTTTTATTCAGATTTTGATGACATTAACATATTTTCAAGTCTTAGACTTTAGCTTCTTAAATCTACTTATATATTTAAAGTAAACGCAGAATAGACCTGTGAGGAGTTTCATATAATAAAATTCAATAAAATATTAAGAAAAGCTTTTAAAAAATATTTTCTTAAAATAACCGCCAGGAAATGTGATGAAAAAAATTTTAAAGCTGTCGTCGCACATGTAATGGAAGTGAAGAAATTTTATTTTTAGCACTTTGGAGCATAATTGGACTTTATAGAATGTAAATATAAAAGAAATGAAAAAAAAGACTAAGACTGTGGTTTTTTCATTCAATTTATTCATGTTTGACTTTATTTATAGAATTCATTGAAAAAATAAATTAATTATCTTAAATATAAATTCATTTCGATTGTTAATTCTCCCAATTCTGATTTAGATTATAATATCAAAATACGAATTCAGCAAAATGATACATCAGAGCTTGTTGGATCATATTTTTTAGTCTTAAAATGTGCATTTATCACCAGTTTAAAATAAATTATTTATATTTAAGAGTAGCCACTTGTCATAAAACTGCTGATATTACTTTTACTTTGCGTTTATTAATGAAGATCTTTTAAAACCCCGCTTTCCTATTATCTTTAAGTATGATAAATAATTAGTGCTATTTTTTTCACTTTTTCACCGATATGACTAAAAAATTTCATTTATGAAGCTTAACAGAAATTTTCACATCTTTTTTTCTCATTTGCAACTCATTCATTGTAATTGAACGAAAAATATCTATGTACAGTAGAAGCTCTATAAGCGGAAACTGAAGGGGGTGGTCGTGTGAGGAGCTTTTCCACTTTTAGAATGGCTTTTCAATATGAATGAAGTTGAAGGGGGTGGTCATGTTTGAAGCTTTTGCTCTCATAAAGCTTCCGCTTATAGCGCGTCGACTGTACATTGTATGTATCTACATACATATTCCTAGTTTACTTTTCCAATCATGAAGTTGTTGTTCGTTTATGGTTAATTGCTAATTGATGCAAAAAGAATTCAAATTTTCAGCAATCCTTTGAGTATACCATCTCGTATCATTGTATTGTTATCTGTATTAACATTCAAGCCGCATAGGAAAACAAAGCCCTTAGGTTCAGCAAAGTTTGTTGTTTTCACATTGTTTTTAAATCTATAAATATTCCCATGAATTGACTACCGACTTTCACCGAAAAATGTTCATTTATGTAACATGTCGAACAAAATTTGTTGAATTAAAATGCAAGATACTAGAGAATAAAGCAACAATTCAATGTAAGATAAGTTTAATGTTAAAGGCTCAATAGTACAAACAGTAATCTTACTTTCATCAAAAAAACGGTTCACTTTTTTCTTGTTGTTCAATTTAGCAATTTATATATGATTGGAATCCTTGTCAATAGTAAATTGGCTTTGTTTCAAAAGGAAAAGAAGGATTTTAGTGTTCCTAGAGGCCTAATCGGTTATGCTTCTTCTTCTTAATGAATAAACGATATCCGCATTTTGATTCGTTATTACAACAATCTAGACTATAATTTTTGAGTAAATATAGTTGAATTTCTTCATAATAAATTCAGGTTTTATGAACTACATTATGAAACACTAAAAACATTGTTTTCCAATTTTCATTGTAACAATTTTTATTGTAACAAAATCACAAAATTTTCTTTGCAGGTGCAATTATTTTTGGGTCAGATCAAGAGGTAGCAGGTGTCATGCGAGCTATCCGTCGAAACAATGCAACTGGAGTTTTTTCATGGATAGGAAGCGATGGATGGTCAGCAAGAAATTTAGTGTCAGATGGAAATGAGCCGGAAGTTGAAGGGACTCTTTCCGTCCAGCCTCAAGCGAATTCTGTTCGTGGATTTGAAGATTACTTCCTTGATTTGACTGTTGAAAATAATGAGAGAAATCCATGGTTTGTTGAGTTTTGGGAAGCACATTTTGAGTGTAAATATCCGAATAGTTCACTGACGCCATTCAATAAGAAGTATAAAAGAGCTTGTACGAAGAATGAGAAGCTCACGAGAAATAACACAGATTTTGAAGATCAACTGCAGTTTGTTAGCGATGCTGTAATGGCATTTGGTTATGCATTGAGGTAACATAACTAATCTCACCTTTTAATTGTCATAAATCTACAAAATTATGTTTACAGAGATATGCATCAAGAGTTATGTGAGGGTAAACCAGGATTATGTGAAGCAATGCGGCCTACTAAAGGGTCAGAATTGCTCAAATATCTTAGAAATGTAAAATTCCTAGGACTCACAGGTGACGAATTTAACTTCGATCCAAACGGTGATGGCCCAGCACGCTATAACATTATTCATTTTAAACAAGTTGAAAAGGGAAAATATCAATGGGTAAAAGTGGGAGAATATAAGCATGGTCGACTTCATTTAAGCATGAATGACATTCAATTTAAATTCAAACAACCGAAGCCACCTGAGTCCGTTTGTAGTTTACCATGCGATCGTGGACAAGCTAAGAAGTATGTCGAGGGAGAAAGCTGTTGTTGGCATTGCTTCAATTGCACTACCTATCAGATAAGAAATCCAAATGATGAGACACAATGCATTATGTGTCCCTGGGGGACTCTTCCTGATGTAGTGAAGGAAAAGTGTGATGATATTCCAGAAGTTTACCTTCAGGCTGATTCATGGTGGGCCATTGGGGCAATGACTTTCGGGCTTTTTGGAATTTGTATAACTATATTCGTAATTGGAATTTTTTTAAGGTAACACATTGAGCTTTGAAGCCTTAATGGTTTAAAACACTTTAGGACTTGAATTCTCTTCTTCTTTTTTATCATCCTTAGAAATAACGACACACCAGTAGTTCGGGCATCGGGGCGAGAATTAAGTTACGTCCTTTTAGCTGGCATTCTCATGTGTTATCTCGAAACTTTTTCTCTTGTACTTAAACCTACCAACTTTGTCTGCGGTCTGCAAAGGTAATTATGAAATGATAGTATAACATTTGTTGTACAAGTAAACTTTTGTGGGGACTCGTACAAATTTGTAGTGATTTTTCTAATTTATTTAACATGAAATTTCATTATGAAAGTTGGTTTATTTATATTAACTTAATTTTCTCTAGGCATGAATTTATGCAAAAGGTTACAAAAAGAAATGTTCAACTTTAGATTCTGATGACGCATGAAATGAACAATATCAAAAACAATTAGAAATGTTTGCAAGAGGATTGAATTAAAAGGAAAATGTTTTGCTTTATAAACACTGCAAATGGCCTAAATATATGTGTAAAATAATCTAATTAAAAAGCAAGAACTGGTTTCAGTTTGTTCAAATCATCAAACTGGAAATTTGCTCTCTTTTTTTCTTCTTAAAAGCTTTTCATAAGCAACCCACAAACTGCTACCCGTCCACAAGAATTTAAAAACTCTTTAAAATCAAACCAACAAACGCAAAGTTAAATTTTGTTTCATGAAAAAAGTTTGAACTCGAGTTTAGATGAGAGAACAAAAAGGTTTTTAAAGATGAGGTGGTCAGATTACTTTAAGTAAATAAGTATTTAAGTGGCAGTCGATGTTCTCACTCTCATAACTCTAAGTAACTGTAGTTAAATAAAAAATAAATGCCGACTTCTCATCGTTATAAATTACAAATATTTCCTTTGCGTCTTGTTTAAAATGTTAATAAAAATTTAGAGCGACAAATAACATTACAAAACTGAAACCTATATGAAGAACACAAAGATGCTGTGGTATGAATTTGTGTTCCATTTCTGAAACATTTATCATAAACCAAAGTGCAAATGAAAATTAAGTAGCACGATTATTTCTCATTGCGCGAAACGGAAGAAATGAAAAGTAGATGTTTTGCAGCGCCCACTTTCACGAAAAGAATGAAAAAGTTTCCCAAACAAATAAAAATATAAAAAAAAACAAGTTAAATTATACCGAGACTCAGCGAGGGTTCTCACAGCCGCAAAGAAAGCATTACACAACATAGAAAGATAACAAATGAGATGTTCACGCACCGCAAACAAATATTTTTTCTTTTTTATTATTCGACAATAGACGGTATTTTGTGTTGATATTTTGTCGCTGTTTCAATTTTTTTCCATATATCGAGGTAGAATGGAATGACAATAGCATCGATTATGGAAAAAAATATTCTCCTCCTTATTTCTGCGTGGAAAGCTTCGATACTTGGAAGAAAAGCAAGGTCGAGACTGAGAAATCCTAATGATTTATGTTATCGTCATTTAACAATCGCATTCGATTTTCGTAAAAGTACAACTGGAATATGAATGAGCTCATGACAACTGTTTCTACCCCACTCGTTTCTCTTTTCAATTGAATTCTTTAATAATTGAGTTCTTGTTTATAGCCGAGAAAGTCAATAATAGAAAGAATGACAGAAAAAGATATTCTATTTTCCCTTTCTCTTCAACACATAATGAACACAATGATTTATATTTCACTTCCATGTAAATAAATGAAAAAGAATGAAATCTGAAATCACTTTCAATAGCGTGAATTAAATCATTGCTAACATACAAGAAGCTTTTAAATGTTCAAATCTTATTCAGATGATGTAATGATTTTGCTTTGAAAATCATTTTCCACTATGTTAATCTAAATAAAAAGTCAATAAATTATTAGCAGCACCGGCTCGGTCCATTCTTATTCAATGACCGTAGGTTGTAAATTTTCCACCAATAAACATTTCGCTTTAGAGATTTGCATAAACTTGACCAGTTCACATCCAATAAAGGCTATAAAAGCCCTCTGAGCGCAATGATTAATGTGAATACCATCCTTGATGTAAAGTTGGTTAAAGTAGCTGAACATAAGTTAGGACATTGGATTTGTGTTAACTGTTTTTCTATACACAATTGTAGATTCTTAACGTTTACACAATGAGTGCGTTTGTCATGAACAACATCTCCTGCTCATTTCGAATACCAAACGATGTATTTGAGTTATCCTTCCGTGATTTATTGATAAAAATTTTACCTTTTCGATACCGGGAGTTCAGTTTATTTACGCTTCAAAATCAAGTTACTTATGGGTCAGTGATTTGATTTATTATTAATTTTTTTTTTTACAAAACTTTATTAAATCAAAACATAAATAAACATTTTATTTATTTATTTATTGAAAAGATTATGAGAAAAATGAATAAGTATTAAGAATCTTTTATTACGTCTCAAGCTAAATGATATTTATTTGTATTTTCGAAATAATAAAACAGCGGAACCGGATAAATAAATATCAATGAATTAATGTTTACTTGAATACACAAATAAAAAGAACTCTTATCGAGAGTTTCCGAAAAAGAGTTGTGAAAACTTTTACATTAGTTTTTCCTTTTCATAGATTTGGTATTGAAGTTGAACATTGTCATGGATTCATACGGAAGCTTTATCAAGATTTATGACGAAAACTTTTTCAATTTCCACTTTTATGCTGATATTCGAGACTTTTCTTTCCACTTACATACAAATATTTCATCATTATTATTATTTTCATAGGTTTGGAGCAGGTTTTTGCTTCACTGTTGTATATGCAGCACTTTTGACAAAAACCAACCGTATTGCAAGAATTTTCAAAGCAAGCAAGCAATCGGCAAAGCGACCATCATTCATTTCACCGCAATCGCAGCTGATTATTTGCAGTGCTCTTATATCTATTCAGGTATAAAAAGAAATGATTGATATTCGATAAACCATCAAACATTAAAAGCTTTTATTTGATGACAGATTCTCATTAACGTGGTATGGATGATCATCGCACCCTCAAATGCCAAACACCATTACCCCACCCGTGAAGACAACCTTCTGGTTTGTGACTCATATATCGATGCATCGTACATGATTGCTTTCTTCTTTCCTATCGTGCTCATAATTGTTTGTACCGTTTATGCTGTTCTGACACGAAAGATTCCTGAGGCATTTAATGAATCGAAACACATTGGCTTCACTATGTATACAACTTGTGTCATATGGTTAGCGTTTGTCCCACTTTATTTTGCAACAGCAAATCATGTTCCATTGCGTATAACATCCATGTCAGTCACCATAAGTTTATCAGCACTCGTTTGTATGGCATGTCTCTTTACACCGAAGGTAAATATTTAATTAATACTTGAGTTTAAACATGTTCATAAATAAATATCTCACGTCTATGATCATTTACATAACTACTCGAGACGTGACGTTAATTTATAATCAAATCATTTATAAGCAGAGATTCGTAGTGCTAAGAGCCTATTTTCGGGTTATAGACATTTTTAAGTGTAACAGTTTATACCGCTATCAGAAATTTTTCTCATAACCTGACTATATAAAATTATTGCTAAATCATAACATTACTGAACCTTTATTTATGAAAAAGCACAAAATCAAATAAAACTTTTACCTTTACAGCTTTACATCATCCTCATTCGACCTGAACGAAACGTTCGTCAAAGTATGATGACAGCTAATCGATGTAAAGGTTTGAGTAAACCACCAACAACCGGTTCAACATCAATGATGTCAACCGTGATGGTAACTGTAACAACATGTAATCAAAAGGAAAAAATCCAGAGACACATGTCGATTGTAGAAGCTAAAGGTTCGCAATTTTCAGGTAACGCAGAAACCAATAATTCATCAAACTCATAAGTACAATCGGAAATATGTTTGCTACCCTTAATAATAAGTAGGTACTTATTATAAAGAGTAGATGGGAGTTTTAGGCTCTTTTTATTACTCAAATTCGTTTTAGAGTCAATTTAAGAAAAAATTATTTCCCAAAAAATCTCAATAGGTTCACAAAGAAAGAAAATTCTATACAATTGAAATTTCTGTTGAATCATATGATTTTCCATATTTCTTATCTCTTTTCTTCTTCACAGACAACGCAAGTGTCAATAACAATAACAACAATCACAGCTTGAATAACAATACGATGAAGTACAGTGATAAATCAACACAAACAGCTGAATGCAATGAATGTGAAGCATCGATGAAATTGACATTGAGAAACGAAAAATTGAAAGCAGTTGAAACTCAAACTGAATCTACGAATTTATGTAGCGAAAATATATGTTGCCTAAATAGTATACCATATGCGGACATGACAAATAGCCCGCCGCAGCCACCCTCTATTCCTTTTCGACGTTTGAACGATGGTAAAGTAATTGACAACTGTAATGACAACAACCATCATGAAAAAAACCGTATTGAGTTGAATCAGCTATCAGCACGAGATTTGCAAAACTCATTGAATATCAATTCTGGTGTGACAAAAAAGACTTCATTGTTATCCAAAAGAAGTGTTTTATGTGACAATTGTGAACATGATGATGAATCGAAAGTCAAAGAAAGTTTTAAAAAAGAAAGCTTATAGCGATTCGGTAATGAAACTTTTATTTGATCTGACAGTACAAAATCAGCAAAACGTTTAGCAATTGTTGTTTAATTCTTGAAAAGTTTGAGAATGCTATATTATTAGATATAGTAAATAAGAAAGAAAGTAAGAAAGATAAAAAAAAGTTTTAAACTGAATCATCTATTACTTTCTTATTTAAAGTTATGTTTGAATGTTCGCAATATATTTCTATTTATTTAATAATCAGATCAAAGATCTTTTGAAGATAACGCTTATTTGTTTTTGTAAAAAGAACTGATGAAAATTATGCTGAATGTTAAGGTCAGCACCGCATGAGGCTATACATAGTTAAGTTGCTGATACAATTGTTTCAAAGTTTGTTGCATTCTTGGTGAGTAATTTATTTCTCTTTATGAAAGTCTAGAAAAACATTGAGACTTAAGCGAAAACGAAAAAAAGCTTATTTTCAATTTAATTTCTAATTGGATTAAAAACACTTTGAAGAAAAAGATGAAATATTTATTTGACATCATTAATAAAAAAAATTTAGTGCAACTAAAATTTTATCGTTGTCAGTAGAAGTTCTGATTTGTCATATTCCATAAAAATATATCTGAAATGAATGTCATGTCAGTTATGATTTAAATTATTTATAATGCTTGCTTTTGTACCTTTCATGGTTTTGTTCTAATTTTAATCTATGTATAGTCACATGCGAAATCAAATTTAATCTTGACTTGATGTCTATTTTTCATGAAATTGTAGTAAGAAGAATAGCAGCAGTCGTAATCATAGAAATGCTACTGTTATGCTTAACACAAAATTTTAATGTTACAATTGTTAATGTTATATCAATAAATAGATCATAAGTTTTAATTTCAAAGTCATTAATTTATTTTCACATAAATTTAGAGCAATGTTGATATTCTCCAACAAGGGAGATTCTCATTTATGAGGGTATGATTTAGTAGCGCGAATTAAAACTTTAATAAAAGTTCCGTAAAAGGAACCAAGTGGCAGTAACATGGAAGCAAATTATTTTAAATCTTAATGCAATCAGCCAAAATTCAGTGATAATGTTAACTAAATAAGTTTTCAAATAATCGAGGAATTATACTTAATTTAATTCATATCTGATTTAAATAAAATACAAATTTAAAAGAAGAGAAAAGTTTGAAAGACAAAAGTTATGAATAATTCAATGAGTTTTCTGTACGAAGCGACGAGTAAAAAATATTCGAATCACTGTAAAACATTACTAAAAATAGTATTTTATATTGCATAAAATTCATGGCTGTAATAATACAACATTAACGAGTTTGACGAAATGTCTGAATTCTGGCTGAAACAATGACTTTTGTGATGTGAATGACCTGATTTCAGTTGAGCCCCTGTGTAAGTCCCTTTCAACAATTCCAAAAATTCTCTGCATTGAGGATTGTAAGCTTCACTTCTGTCTTCTCAAAAATTATCATGTTATATACTCTTTGATAAGGCTGAAGTGACCTTAGTTACTGACTATTACAAAATGATCGTGATAAATTTTCAAAATTAGTAAAACTAATAATTTTAATAAAACGTCTCCGAACTTGAAACTTTCATTTTGAGGAAAGCTTTTGAAGTCATGAATTTAGGTTTTTTTATTAAATAAAAAGGCTGAATCGATGTCCATTTTTGTAAAAAAAATTTTAATCATACTTAACTTACAACTAAATAAATGCACATTGAATTAATCTATCACAAAACGAATGTTTATGAAGTCATACGAGATACATAGAGAAATATTTGTTGCAAGGGTTGGTCATTCACAACATAAATTCATGATCTTAACAGTCGATTCGTTTTGTCATAATTTTATCGAGTTGTTCGCAAATAAAAGATAAATATACAGAAATAACTGCAAAAGTACGTTTGTCGATTAATTCAATAATTTGGCAAAACAATTATTCGAATATAACAATTAATTGTATTTAATTGGTATTTCAAAGAAATCTTATTGAAAATTTAAAAAAATTAACTTTATTTTTTTTTTAAGTTTTAAGAATTTGTAAGGAAATAACGGAGGAGATATTGGAAGGGTCGAAATGAATGTCAAAAATGTATGTCGGTTAAATACCAATTAGAACAATTAATTGCAATTGGAAATCGACATCCATACTTCAAAGACTTAGTTGATCAAAGCAAAGTGATTTTTTTACAAAATTGTATACTTATAAATATGTGTTTTAATTTCAATGATTAAAAACCAGAAAATATATATTAAATAATAAGAAATATTGATTGAATATTTGAATACCTATATATAAATATGTAGAACTAAAGGAACATGTATAAATTCAATAATACGCATTTAAGTACATTCTAAGGTATGCATATACATATGATATATTTACTCACCTTAATATGATATGAATAGTAATTATTTACCATAATTTGAATGATTTTTTAAAATTAAGTCTTTGTGAAGGAAACTCAGAAAGTTGAAGTTAATAAAATATAAAAAAGTAAATAAATTAAAAAACAATGCTTTCTAAAACAATTCACATACTTATATCAAACCATTTAATTATTAAGTTTTTCTTCTTATTTTTAAAAAAGTTTACATCAAACATTTTTAAGTTTTCAAACTGTTTCCAAAGCGAATGCAACGTAAAGATATAATAACTTCAGAGTTTAAATTCGTTGTCTCTACTGAATTATTCAGCAACACTCTAAACTTCATATTAGTTCTCAGCAGATTCGCTAAAAGAAATTTAACGAGAGGTTATTGAGCATTAATGTCTCTGAATGATCCTTCAAATGAACTTAGATGAAAGGTTTTTTTTTTGAAATATTAAATGAAGTTGAAAACGTTTCTTTCAGCACAATTATTATAAGATTATAACTTTTTTATTTCAATTTTATATTTTTATTTCATTTCTCATGAGAGACTCAGAAAGCTGAAAGTCTTTTCGTAGTCAAAAGAAGCTTCCAGTAGAGTAAATTTTAAAAATGGAATGGAAACATTTCAATTTTTCATTTCAAATTGCTATGTTAAAAAATTATCGCAAATCGTTAAGTAAAGAATGTGAAACTTCAGTCTATGTGATATTGAACATTTTGCAGAAATAGCGAGTTCTTTCATAAATGACATTAATAATGACACATTGACTTATTTTATGGACGGAATTGTAAATCATTTACATCATCTTAATTCATTACAGCATAATTAACATAATTTTCATTCAAATATTGTTTCTAAAATTAGGAGAATTTTTCATAAATTAGGTAACTTCCAATGTTTTATTTATACAGTTTGATAATATAAAGTTCACTCTCATATAAAGAAAAGCACCGACTTAAAATCGATGATTTTCACACATCGGTGCAATAAATTTTTGACTCATATATTCAGATAAAAAAAACAAACTTTCACATATCTACATATAATTTATTCTCAATTTATTCTCAAATATTTTTATCGCTTAAAAATTGTTCACATTTCATCGGAATTTATCTACGTTCTCATAACCTTTGAAATCGTTCATTCATGGAAGGGAAATTCGTAAAGATAAAAGTTTTTATGATTTCATCAATGAAATGCAATAATTTAATAAAAAAGAATATTTATTTATTATTTTATTATCGTAGATAGAATAATAATAATATTCATTTATACATTGAAACGGCTTTGATTTCTTAATGGATTTTACGATTTAAATTAATTTCGCTCAATTTTCAGCTTATTTATTGAAATCTGGTATTATCAATTGAAACATTTCCACTTGGATGGAAGTATTAATGTAAGAAAAGATTATCCTTTATGTTCATATAAAATAAATTGTTTATAAAATCCAAATTGGGAAGCGTTCAAAGAAAATTTACGGCTTAATCGGAATTGAATTTAAATTTTAATTTTATTTGGACAAATTTCAATTCCAAGTCTTGGTCGATATTTACATGTTGAGTTAAAGAGTAAGATTGCAATTTAAGGATTAAGATTTCGTAAAAATTTCACATATAAAAATGACATTTTCCATCAAATATTTTTTTTTCAATTTGCCACTTAAGAATGTAGTCCTAACTTAACAGAAAAGTTGGGTAAGAAAACAAGTAGTGAGATAAATTTCTTGTGATTTATATTCTTTTCTACTTCAAATATTCTCCAAGGAGTCTAATAAAACTTCTAGAAACGCAGACAGCAAGGTTGACAATGAATAATGACTTATAAGGTGAGAAAGTCATAAATATCACAGAAAAGGGAGAGTCAGATATCACCTTGATAACATTGGACATTCTATGAGATTATTCACTTGGAATCAGATGCGATCTTTGTAAATATCTATCTTGAATAATGTAAAGCTATTTTTGTGAAAACATAAAATGAATTTTATATCTACATTATTAATTTCACAATAGATTTTTCTTTGAAAATTGTTTTGAATTTTTCTCCAATTAACAAAATGTTAAATTTCAGCAACTCAATTTAAATATCTTTTTCTCTATTTGATTGAATAAAATATTCGCAGAGTTATCGTTGTTGCTGTGTTCGAGCAGTCAGATGTCAGATTAAAATTCATCCACACTTTAACATGAAGAACATTTGAAGAAGTACATTTTATGATAGGAAGGAGATATTCTAAATACCTGTAGAATTATTCCTCAATATTTTGTAGGTGTTGCATCTTCAAAGACTTACAACCACCATTCTTGTTTCAATGAATAAATTATAATTTGATACACAAATTTGAAAGAGCGACGCACATATTAACAAAACATCCCACGCTGCTCAAAGTAGTTACCGAATATTAGGAGTGAAATATTTTATTTCACGTATAATAAGTTTACATAAATAAGTTAAGTTTTCCTAAAAATATTAATTGCATGTTTTAAAATAACTTCTGATGTTGTTTTAACTTTGAATTTTACAAATAAAACTTTCATTATGTTTTTCATGATGTAATATTACACAACACGCTGAGTGAAGTTCATGATGGAAAACAATGTGGCAAAAACATTCATTCTCTATTTTATTACCATAAAAGTAAAATGTTTTCATACAAACATTGAAGTTAATTAATTCAATTGCTAAATTTATTTGACAGTTGAGTTTTTGGAATTTTGTTAAATAAAATTTACAAACAAAGAAGCATAGAAAAAATACAATTCATGAATTTCACAAAAAAAAATTAAGAAGACTCACGAAGTCTGAACATTTTCCAGTTTTCAAAAACTGAATATTGTCACTTCTTTTGATTAGATTTTCAATTTATGATTGCATGCATCTGAATTTTATTTAAATTCAAGTGCTGAAATATTTAATAGAACAAGTAGAAGCAAAAATAAAATATATTTTCAACACAAATGAATGAGAAAAAAAATCCAAATTATATCCAATGACTTAATTTCATTCATTACCCTTCTTTTTTAATAGTATTAACTGTAAACACTTTTTTATTTTGAACGATAACAAGAGAGTAATTTCGTGTAAGTGAAAAAAGAAAGTCAATAAACAAACTTATAATCATGTATCTTTCTTTTCCAAAATACATTTTATTGACGTGAGTAAATATGGAAAAGGTATGAAAAACAAATATTTAACATGATCAGCAATCAAAAAATTCAAATTTTGAATTTAAATTTCACAATATTTCAGGTGGATTTTTCATATTTTCATATATACCAAACCACTTGATTGTGTTACACAAAAATAAACATAAAAATTGGTTCCAAATACTTTTAATGCAGGGCTTTTATCTCATAAATATTTAAATGTCTCCAAGATAGCGGATGCTACACAAATTCTCTGAAAATAAGCAAAAAGTTTCAACACTCTCGAAAAAAAATTAACAATAAGACTCACCGAAAAACCAGTTCGTTGCGTAGCAAGCCACTCTTACCAAAGAAGAAATTATAGCTGTGTTGAATCGTGAAATGAAATGAAATTTGGTTGAAACATCTCGATCAGGTAGTTTTAAAAAATCCAGTCGTGACACCAAACGAAAATATTTTCGGTTTTTGTTTAATATAAAATAAATCAGAATGGGATTCAAAGTGAATACTTTCGCATTTTCTTCTCTTTTTATTGGAATGTTATTGCCAGGTTATAACATGAAAAGTTTATTCTTGATTCTTGGAGCTTTTATTCTTATTTATATGAACTTCAAAGTTTGGAAATATACGAGAAAGTTTCCAGGTAGAAATTATTTCTTGCCTGAATGGAACACTTTCTTCGCTTATAATTCATTCACTTTTCATAATGAATTATTCAAAAAGTGGCTGAATTTTGGACGTGATAAGTTTATTATCTGGATAGGTTTCGAAAGATATCTTACACTATCAAAGTTGAGAGATGTTAAAGTGAGTTGAAATGTTTTCGACACGAGTTTGCAATGTAATATTAATTATTTCTTTAAATTTCCATTTGCTCTTCTTCCACTTTGTATTGAACGAAATAAGAATGTTTTCGACGTTACTAATGATGCTCCATTAATGGAAAATTATTATCAAATGTGGCCTTGGTTAGGTGGGGACGAAACAGTGAAAAACAATGGTAAATAAATTTTCAATTATTGATGAGTCTCTTATTCACTTCCTACGAGTTTTTTTTAGAATTTTCCTCAGATGCTTTGGTCAAAGCACTAACGGATGATGCTTCAATTGAAACACTTACAAAATCAGACATTTTCATTGAAGCTATTAAAAAGCAAACTGAATTGATATCTGAGCAAAGTGGTGGTGTAATTGATGTTCAACCACCCATCAGAGCATTGACTTTTAATGTTGTTTGTGGTGAGTAACAAATATGCTTGAAATTATACTCAAAATTTCTATTAACTCCGGTTTCATTTTTAAACAATTTAAATTTTAAATACACCAAAATTCATCGTCGCTATTTGAGAATTGGTTTTCAGGATTTTTTAAAATTTGAATAATGAATTGAGAAATCGTTTAAGTTTTTATCTTCTACAGAACAAATATGTTCAGTTTCATATTTGCTTTAATTGCTTTTGTTTCTCTGTTTAATTTTTAATGAAAATGCTGACGATAAAAATACAATAATAAATAATAATTGGATTTTTCCAATTTTCTCTTCAACTTTCCTTCTTCAGGGATCGCAATGGGATTCAAGAGTGAAAGCCGGCAACACGAGATATTTGAGGCCGCGGAAAAGTGAGTAAAGATTATGATCCCTGCTAAGCAAACTTCAATTTGCATAAAGCGAGAATCGAAATTTGTGTTTTATATTCGAGGGTGAACGAAAATATGCGTGTGATAAGCAATGTCAAGCGCCATATGGAAACATTTTTTTACGTAACTTAAATATTCAACAATTAAAGTTCATCTGAATTTTTGTTTTCACATCTGATGTTCACTAACCATTCGTAAGCAACCTCAATTTCTCACGGATTGTTTTTATTGAAATTTTGGAGCTGTTGTCAGAATGGTTTATATCACAATGCAATGGCTTGAATTAATCAAATATTGAGTCTTTAATAAAAAGAACGTTTAAAAATAAAAGAATTCCATGAAATGAAGGAGCTTATCGTTACATAAATCGTTTTGTAAGAACTAATTATGTGACATTGTTGATGTAGATAAACACCTGGCTAATAAATTAGTTTCCTACATTTTTGATATAATTTTCAGCCAAGGTTCAAGTGTTTCGTGTGAAAAAAAAACATTTCCCTCACCCTATAAAAAATATAAATATGAAAATAAAAACAGCGAATCTCATTTCCTTTTTTTCGTCATACTTTTCCGGACAGTTTTTCATATTTTCAATTATTTTCAGATTATGCCAGATGGTTGACCAGCGGATATGTTCGGGTTGGAAACAATATAAATGGTTATCGAACGTGCTCGGGGAAGAGTCAAAAATGTTAAAGCAAAAAAGTATTCTTACGGAATGGGTGAAAATGGTTCTGCAGACGAAACGTGATAATAGAGACCAAAATGTTAGCTGCTTATTAGATGCCTTAGTTGCTAACAGAAGTCTCACTCAAGATGAAATTGTTTCAACAATTGTTGGTTTTATTGTTTTGGGTTATGATCGATTGGCATCTGCAACGTGCTCTGCTTTATTAGAATTGTCAAAACAGGTAGAAGTTCAAGAAAAAATCCGAAAAGAAATAAGAAATAATGCAATAATTTCCACCAACACTTCACAATTACTTGAAACTTTTCTGATGGAAACACAAAGACTTTACCCTTCTGTTTCAGTTGTCAATAAATGGATCACTGTTGGAATTCCTCTGAATGGATTTTTTATTCCTCCAAATTCATCTGTTTTACTGTATTTATACGGAATAGGGCACGATGCACAAAGGTTCAGTAACCCCGACGAATGCGACATTTATAGAATGAATCTAGCAGAAACGTATGGGATAAACAGACACGAGTTCAGCATGCCGATGACAGTTATTAAGGTTCTCGTGGGAAATCTGCTAAAAAAATATCAACTACGGGAGGGTAAAGATAAGGTTGAGATTGGCAGCGGACTCGCATTAAGAATGAGTGGAGTGCGTATAAGTATCAAGTCACTTTGAATTATCGAGAAAAGGACAAAAGTGACAAAAATATCTTTGAGAAAATCTACATGAGAATACGGCATCTGAGAAAAGTTTTAAACTTGACATAATTAACGAGGGCTGTCAGAAGCCTTCAACAAATATCTAATATTATTAAGTATTTGTAAAAAATGACTTCACTGAAAAGCTCCATTACTGTCAACATTAGTGAAACCTTTTCAGAAATATAAAGTATTGTCAATAAACAAGATTAATAATTTATTTCTTCAGATTGAGTATCAGCTAAAATAAAATTACTTTCAGCTGCCTTTTTGCTACAAATTTTCTCGACTCAAACAAAAATCTTGTCTCGTAAAAAATATACATCTATAAATATTTTATAATCGAACTTTTATAATCGAAATAGATAATTTTCAGTTCTTCATGATAGATTTTTACAACGTGGGCTAAGATCAGAGGATTGTCAACATAGAACAATTATGGATTGCTTACATTGCACCCACCACAACTTCTGCTTTGATGGATCCTTTTTTGTTCAGCTTCTAAATAAACTGAATCATTTAATTTTATTTATTCCTTTAAAGTTTATGTAATTCTATCATCATCATCACCATCGTTATCACCATTAAGCAAAAAGAAAAAAGATTAAATATAAAGTTACGTCATGACATTAAAATTTTATCATACTTTAATTAATTTCATAGAATTATTACTAATTTATAATCACATTGAATGGATAATAGTATTGTTAATTTTATAAATGCTTCTTTATTTTAAATGGGCCTTTGTTGTTGCTCAAAAGATTCAGAAATTTCTTCCTAACCGAAATATAAAGGATTAAAGGTTAAATCAAAAAGGGAAGATAAACTACCAGACCCTTGGGCATTAAAAGCTTCATTTGACAGGAAAAGTATCCTACAGATAGCAATAAAAAAAGCAATCGATATAGATAAAACTTAAGACCGACTTGAATAGAAATTGTTCAAGGGCACGCAATAAGATAAAAAGGAAACGGATTTCTGTTCCAATAAAAGCGAAAATAATTCTCTTGTGGTCGTGAATAGAAATGTAGAGATGTTAAACTTG